ACTATTCCCAAACTTAAAAGAGTATCCAGCAACATCAAACTTAGACAAAGAAACTAAATTTCTAGTGATACTAGGTACATAAAAAGTATCTATAAGGTCTAAGTGATATTCAGTGTCAAGGATTAAACGATGAGTCCCGACAGCTTCCACTGGAACCTTGACTTTATTCCCCATGAAGACGAACTTCTCATTTGGGTTTATGGTTCGGGTTGATAGGAATCCCTACATCACATTAGAAACATGAGTCGTACATCCAGAATCAATCCACCAAGTATTATAGGGAACTTCAGTTAAATTTGATTCAAAACATACGTAAGCACTATGCTCACCTTTCTTTTCGAACCAAACTTTACGCTTTAAGCAGTCCTTCTGAAAATGTCCAGACTTCCCGCAGAAATGATATTTGTCATTTTTCTTCTGAGTGTTAGTAGATGACCCGTTAATCTTTAATGGTCCTTTACCCTTTCCATGTTTCTTAACAACTTTCTTTTTAGCTCCTTGATTTTTCACGTAATGAATAAAGTGGCTTCCTAGGTTCTTGAGTCTGGTCTCCTCCTGAACTAACATACTGTGCAATTCATGCACATTCCATTTGTCTTTCATGGTGTTATAATTCATCTGAAATGGACCATACTCAGGCGGTAACGAGTTCAAAATGAACTGCACAAGAAAATTTTCTTCCACTGTCATTCCAAGATACTTGAGTTTTGCTGCGATATTTGCCATTTCGATTATGTGTTCATGCATACTACGAGAACCATCAAACTTCATGGTGGTCAACGTACTCATTAATGTCCCAGCGAGGGATTTGTCAGCAGTTTGAGAGCGCTCTTCCACAAATTTCATAAACTCTTTCGCATCCTCAGTTTTGGGAAGAACAGACTTAATATTGCTTGTTACACTCATTCGCATAAACATAAGGCTAAGTCTGTTTGATCTTTCCCAAGCTCTATAATGAGTTTTGTCTTCATTACTACTAGCATCAGTGATAGCAGCCGATTTTTCAACTTGGAAAGCCAAATCAAGATCCAACAAACCTAAGTGAAATTGGACTTGTTCACTCCAGTAAGGGAAATTTAACCCATTAAAGACTGGAACAGATGAAGATAGCGAATGCAGAGCTACAGGAATAGATACTGCAATTAACACATGTCTAACATTAATATTTTGAGTCATAAAATTGAACATAAATACAAATTCAACCATAAATTACCATTCTCCGCATATTAATGTTCTCCTTGGGAGATCCACCAATACACAAATATAATTACGCTAAACTTTTTATAACATTAATGATAATTAAAATATGCATCAACTAGAATCACCTAACACCTTTGGGTATATAAATAAAACTAGTGACGCACAAAAAATTATCTACCTTCATGCTCATTAATTATAATAACAATTAATCAACCTTTGGGTGATCCTGAAATGTCTTATAATAATGAATTTCAATTAACCCATAAATCAAATATTCATAATTTTAGCGTTCATACTATGGATAATTGAAATAAAATCATTAATAATTTGAAATTAAAATAACCTTAAAATTTTGCCCACTTTGGTGACTAACAAAATTTATCATACTTAATTTCAAATAAATAATATATTTAATAACAAAACATAATTCATTCACGTATCCCATTTTGGCCTCCACATTAACATTTATGTTTCAAATTTATATTGCAATTTAAATCAATTGTAGCGGCACCATTCATAATCATGTACTAATGTTAGGTAAGAAAAATGGCAACTATCACACAAGAGACGTAATGTGAAAGCTGACGACAAGCCACAAAAATAAAATCAAATTACCAAACTATACATTCACGTTTATTCCCATAATTTTAAAACCATGTTAAACAATTTGAATCGATCCCTTCAATCATTTTCTATTACCATTATGTTTGAGATACCTGGCGGCACGTAAGGCAACTCCAAACATATAATCAATCCTCGATCAAACATTTACCAATTCATAAATATAAAATTATTTGTTGCATATTAAAATAAATGTACGAAGTCATTCACTCACATTTGTAATTCAATTGCACGTTAGGCCATGAATTGCTTCAATTGCCCAGGTCCCATCAACTTGATTGCATCATTAATTAATTACAACGGAAATTAATTGCATTATAAATTAATTACGCGACCATTGATGCCAAACAGTAAGAGGGCCAAAATAAATTAGGGCTTATCCGTTTATTTAATTTTGGAAAAAATAAATTATGGGAATAAATTAGGGTTCATGCTAATCTGATTGATAAATCCCTAAATTCATAATTAGGGTTAATCTTAATTTGGGAAAAACATAATTTGGAAAAAATTATCATAAGAGGAAAATCATAAATCTAATAACTATGCTCTGATACCACATGTAAACTCTTCTGTAGTTTTCCTATGTTCTTAATTCATTATAGAAAACTACTCTACAAGATATTTAGATTATTGATTTTCACAATTTAACATACATCAATACATGAATCATAGTAAGAAGATTAACCTTGATTCATGAGAATCTTTTCTTCAATCTTTTCGTTCTTCAATCTCCTTTTCCCAATCTATCTCTTTGCCTTTCTTTCTCTTCTCACGCTTTCTTGATGGTTTACCGTGAAAAAACCTTATGGCCAGAGACAGAACCCTAATCCCTTTTATTAACCAACGTCCATCAAGTTGGTTACCGTAAGTTACTATTTTATTTTATCTTATCTTTATTTTATTCTGACTTCACATAATAACCAATAGGTCCTTATAATTTATTAAATCACATTTGAGTCCATCATTATATTTCACATGAGTCATATAATGGAATGAATTAATTAAATTAATTCTAACAAATCAGTGATTGCAACTTCTACCATGGAAGCCGAATTTGTGACATGCTTTGAGGCCACAATTCAAGCATTATGGTTGGGAAAATTTACTATGGGGTTTGGTATTATTGATAATATAGTAAGACCAATGAGAATTTATTGTGATAATTCTACAACTATTTCTTTTCAAAGAATGATAAATACTTGAAAGGAGCAAAACACATGGATTTAAAGTATTTATCAGTTAAAGAGAAAGTACAGAATCAAAGGGTGTCAATTGAGTATATTGATACAAACTTAATGATAACAGATTTGTTAAGTGAAAGTTTACCACCTAAGACATTCATTGACCATGTTAAAAGAATGAGTATATATATATATATATATATATATATATATATATATATATATATATATACATTATTGTTGTAATATTTGTACTTGTTTGACACTTGGGATTTCTATGAAAGATATTCTTATTTATTATGTCATTCACATTACTTGGTATACATTATTGTTTTATTTAATGAAATGACATAATAAATCTTTTAAAGGAGATTAAAGATATATTACAGTTTCATTAAAGTTAAGTTAGATAATTTATGATACATTAAAATAATCTTGTTATTGGAAAACTTCCAACCACTATGATCCAATCTTCTAGTTTAAGAAAATAATGACTTGTTAAATTTAATTGTTAAATTTAATGTATGATGTGTACTTGAAAATTCGATGTTGAATCTTCAAGTCATTACATAAACAAATAGGAGAATATTAAATTATTTAATTTAATATTAATTTATATAATTTATAAAATAACTTTAATTTAAAGATTTCTAATATGATGATTATTATATTATAAATATATTAAAATTATTAGAATTATTTTTAAGTTATTAAAATCAATTCTTTTTCTTCTCATTTTGTTAAAAGTATATGATATTTTAAAAAATATTTTAAAATACTACCTAGAAGTTAGGTTATAGTATCTTTTATGCAAAATTAAAAATAATAAAAAAAGTTATCTTCTAAGTAATTTTTTGAACACTAAAGAGAATTATTCTTATAAAATATAATAATTTATTAAATTTGAATTATAATATTGGAAATTATAAGTTTACATTTATAATAAATCTTTTACCAAACTAAAACTAATTTATACATAAATAAAAATTTGAAAGTAAATAAATTATTTTTTACATATTAATTTATAGATAAATTAACTTTGATTTTGTATAGAATAACTTTTTATTTTATCATCCCAAAATTCTCGTGAAAAAGTTTATCTAGACAAACCTATTTTTATCTCGTAAAAGTTTTTACAAAAAAAATTATTCAAACAAGTTTTCATATCATAATTCTTTTACTTGTAATAAATCTCAATCAATAAAATAACACGTGTTTAGTTCTCTTCTTTATTTAAATTATCATTTTACCTATATAATTAAATATGTATTTTTATTATTTTATAATTATTAACTATTTTTATTAATACTTTTAACTAAACCAAGCGAATACAGGTGAATGGGTTTTAATTAACTCATTAAGTTTATTATAAAATATACAAAATTTCAACTGTTTTTTTTGGGTAAATTTTACTTTAAATTTTCAAAATCCTTTCTTAGATGGAGAAAATATTGCATCTTATTATAACCTTTAATCAATTTGAAAATGCTAATATAGCACAACAATGTTTGTTAACATTACCTTAATTTGAAAATAACTCAAGGTGAATAATAATAATAATAATAAATTAAATAAAGGAGGAAAAAACATACGAAAATAAGAGGAAAAGAAAAGGTAAGTAGGAAGGAAAAGATAGAGAAACTGAGGAACCAAAAAGTCATTTATTGAGTGAAAAATAAAATAAATAAAAACAATACAACAAAGATACACCTACATACACACTTGGTTTTGGTTTTGGTTTTGTTCCTTCTTTCCCCATATTCCTAGTTCAGAATTCAGATTGATCAATTCAAACCCCATAGATCATACATACCCTCTCTCAATCCTCATTGAACTCTCTCTCTACATCTCTGTCTTTCTCTCTCTTTCTTTCTCTATGTTTATTTAGTGCCTTTTTGTTTTTGCATCACCCAATCAATCACTGACCCCTCTTTGCTCCCTTGTCTTCATTGCCCACATATCCTGTTTTCGCAAAGTTTGTGACTTTGTGTTGCGAAGATGAGCAGTGCGGGGTTTAGGGCTTCAATTCCGACCAGTGTGAGGAGGACGATCCAGAACATAAAGGAGATCACGGGCAATCACAGTGAAGAAGACATCTATGCAATGCTCAAGGAATGTTCCATGGATCCCAACGAGACCGCTCAGAAGCTTCTCCTTCAGGGTACTTTTTTTTTTTTCCTTCTTTAACTTCTCATGGATTCGATCTTGATCTTAATATATGTGCTCGTGTGTGATCCGGGTGTTGGACTTTGGGTTTTCTCATCTGGGGTTCCTTTCGTTTTGTTTTGATTTTGAATCTTTACCCCTTTTCTCTGGCGAGGTGGGATGGGGGGGCCTTGAATAATTGTGTTTGCCATGATGGGGTTTCACTGTTGAGATAATTTTGTTAGGCTAAGAAGGGGATTTTTTTTATTAGCCCTTTTGGTGTCTCGGGGGCTTCGTGTAACTTGACTAGGAGAAAGTTCAGTTTTTGGAAAAAAATTTAAGGGGTACGGTGTACTTTTGTACTAGGATATAGTTGGTTAATTTGTTTAGATTTTGGACTTGGTTGGCTCTCTGGGGTCAGAATTTTTTATTTTTCTTATAAATTGTCAGAATGGTTTAGGGTATAGCATTTATTCACGTTCGACTCCACTGTCGTTTGGTCATGCCTTCAACTGGTTCTGTTTTCAAGCTTACAGTGTCACTGAATATGAGTTCAATTGATATTTTATTTTGTTTGATGATTGGTTGGTTGGAGTTCAGAATGTGGGTTATTTAAGCAAGGAACTTGTGTTGGATGTTTTGAGAGTGGTTACTTTTGCTTATTATTGGGTTTCTATAATGATTACTAGTGATGGTGTTGTGCGGTTTTCTGTAACCTCTTGCCCTTCTTTTCAAGTTTTCTTTTTCTAAATACATGTATGGCATTTCGGAGCTGTATCTTTTGTCAGCCAATAGCTTTAAGTTGACTTTAAACTGTACTCTTATGAAAGGATATTTTATGCTTCGGTAGAATGTTGTGTTTTAACTCAAACAATATTGATTTTTTTTTCCCAATCAAGATTGTATTATTTTGAACTCTATAATCTCATCTTTGTGCTCTTGTACTGTATGTCCTATTTCTAGTTTCTTATCCATTTCATGATAAGTGGAGTTTCCTTCTTGTCAAGCTCATTTGGAATCTAAACCCCTTCTTTGGATCCTTAATAGGATATAATGCCGATGGTTTGTTGCAGATTCACAGTCTTCACATGGCTTTTCCATGTTATGTGCTGTGTGTAAGGCTAGTTTGGAAATAGGACTTTTGGCTGTATTTTTCTACCTTGGAGTAGCTTCTCTTGATGTGTTTAGGTTTAGATACTGTTTAGCAGATCATGGTTGAATGCTATAAGAAGAATTTGGACTGAATGGAAACACTTTAAAAAATTTAAAAATAACACAATTGATTATTGTATCTGTTTTAAAACTTTAATAACTGATGTGGAGCTGAAATAAGGGAAATTACACAAATAGATAAAAAAATAGTAGTTACAGTTGAAAAAGATCAAGAATAACTAATTTTTCATGATTCACAAACATAGCAGTTAAAACTAAAATCATATTTAGCATATTTATTACAACTACAGATACTATGAATCACCTACAAATAGAAAGAGAGACAAATGAGGACAAAGGAAAGGAACAAGTACTAAGATAACTGTATTACAAAGCTGCTGTGCAGGTAGTCTCACCTTCTACATTGAAGAAGTGGGCCACATGTGAAACAAAGGTACAGAGCTGGCTGTAGTACCAAATGAAGGGTTGATGGCCGGAGCAAGGTCAGAAGAGAGTCAAAATGATGACAAGTAGTTACTGGATCTACTCCTAAATTTGAACTTAACAGAGCAAGATGCTTATCTGTAACACAATGTAAACATAATTTGTGATTCCTATATTTGTTTGTTGGTTTCAGTGGATATCGATTTCCTAATTTGGTGTATCCTGTTGGTGAAGATGGGATACAACTAAGTTAAAACAGTAAATTTGGCTCTTTGTAGAATAGCAGCTACTATGATCCTTGTCACACTATGGCTCACTATTGTGGTGCACAATGCCACAAAAGTGAGGTGCATTGCAATAAGGATTTAGAATTAGAAGCAGCCAAGAACTATTCTATCATGCTATTGCATGTAGTAATGTCCATGAGATTGTCTGATGTTAAAGGCTATGATTTCAGTGGATTAATCTATTGATGTGTGAAGTTTGAAGTTCTTATTTGCTTGTTTTATTTGTCTACTTATTGGGTTGGGTGATTATTAAGCAGTGAATTTTTCTTGCAAACTATTAATTATCGGTTTTAATTTTATGAAATTGTTTCTCTGTTTGGATTATTAGTTGAAGTGTGAAGTTTCATGTTGTCATCATCTTGCATGTAAGGGTACTATTCCATTCATGTATTGTTTGATAGTGTCATATTGAAGTAGCTTGGGCAGTGTTTTTCCTTCTTTGGGGTTATAGTTTCAATTCTTCACTCTTTTCTTTTTGAGTGCCTCTTTTTATTGCTTTTCATTCTCACGTGATTTCTATGGGTTCATTGGTTCTGAACTTCTGATGGAAATTCTTAATGGGTCTATTATATATGAATAATTTGTTTTACAGACACATTTCATGAGGTCAAGAGAAAGAAAGACCGAAGAAAGGAGGTAAGATATTTTAGTCGGTAAATGACCTTCAATAATGTATTACTAACTGGCTCTCATGGTTGATTATTGATTTTTTATATTGTTGAATAGGTTTTAGTACTTGAAATTAATAGTATACTGGAAATTTATGTCTAATCATGCCACACAGGAATGTCATAATTGTACAACTTTTATTATAGCATAGTAGTTATTTCTAAATACTGGTGCAGAGCATCTGACCCTAAGAATGCTATCTCTGGTAGCGTGATGACCACTATTTTCAGGTTCTAAGATACACCTAGCTTAAATTATACTACACACACCTATCCTGAACCGTCCCCCCTAAAATTAAATACATATTCATAGTTAATGATAAAAAATTAGGATTTTAGAACAACAGTACTAAATACCCATGTCAAAAGACAAATGTTTTCAACAACAAAAAAGAAAAAAATCATGCAAGTTTAAGTTTCAAAAGGCTTAGAGAAAATATTCAAATTCAAGTACAAGTTTTATAATAGATATTATCTTCATCACCAAGATCTGCGATCTCTTTGGCCTCATTTTTGGTTTCACTTGTACTCATCAAAAACACCTTCATCATCCCGATCTATTTCTCCTAACAACCTTTCCTTATTATCATCAACAATAAATAGGAAAATGAGATCCATCACAACAAGACTCAATTTTTATGAAGAGCTTTCTTATTTAATTTTAAACCAAGTCTTGCAACCTTTGATACACAAGCCTCCTTCTCTTTTTATAACGATTTTATTTTATAAATACATAAATTGTTATTTAACTATATATATGAAACTTTTTAAATGTAGTTATTTGCGATTTACTTTCTTGCTTAAAGGAACTTCAATTCCATATATATCTCAATGAACTACAAGTTAAGATCACCATTTTAATGGTGATGTTTTGTTAATGTGGAGTGAAACTACTTATTATCATTTCCATTTACATCATGTAATTAAAATTATAATAAATTTTCTTTCGCACTCTAGCAGCTAATGTAATCCTTTGTCTTATTGTTACCTTTGCCTCCGACTTTTTCTATATATTGACAACTCATATGATGGCAATAAATACAAATAATAATAGGAGCTAATGTATGGACTTCACAACAGAGTCCTTTTATACCAGCTGATGACAATAAATACAAATAATAATAGGGTATTTTATTCCTATATACATGATATGATGAGTCTATAAATCATATTCTAATAAATCTGACTCTAATAAGATATTCCTATAATTATAAAGATCCTAATTAATCATTTATTAAGGAAGTAAAAAATCAAAATATAAAAGAATAAATCCTGAGATAATCTACGATACTTCAGAATATTAGCAGATAATATCTTTAGATGTTTCTGCCCTCCTTCTTAAGCTGAAGTTTTCTAATTTAGCTTGTTATAAGTAAACAATTTACTTCCTCTCAAAGTGGGATCGACCAAAAACTACAGTTGGAAAAACAATTCAGGGATGCTGGAGGGAAAAATAGTTAGAATGATTACCAGCTTGAGAGAAAAATTCATGGCAAGCTGAGCATGTCTGTCCTTCTCAAAACTGCATTTGGGAGTTTCAAACTAATATTATTGGGACCCAACATTTATTTTTAAACTTGAAACTAAGTTTGATAATGGCTTTTAGGATTAGACAATGCCAGTGCATGTAGGACATAGTAAGGGCCACTGTATTTGGGAGAAGCTCAGAGCGAATTTGGGACAAAGGAAAGGCCATTGCATCTGGAATATGCGTGGGGCTTTTACATTTTGAAAAAGTCGGGGCCAGTGAAGCATCCGGGAAAATTGGGGCCAATGCATTTGGCAATAGATAGTGCATCTAGGAAGTAGTTGGGATCAATGAATTTAGGAAAAACCTGGGACCAGTGCATTTGGAAGACCATCGAGGTTAGTGCATCTGGGAAAACACCGAGTTCAGTGCATCAAGGTGAAAGCTGAGGCTAGTACATCTAAGTAAAAGTAGAGACCTGTGCATTCAGGAAAATGCATGGGGAGAAGCTGAGGCCAGTGCATTTGGGAAAAAGCCGGGACCAATGCACTTGAGAAAAGTCTAAGCTGTTGCATATGGGATAGCCAGGGCTAGTACATTTAGAGTTTTAGGAAAATGCCAGCCAATGCATCTGGAGCTAAGCCAATATAGTGATGCCTTAGGACTCTCATTTTTGTTAAAAAAATATGGAACTTTTGCTGAGGTCAATGCATCTGGGAAAATGTTGGAATCAATGCTTTTGGATCAAAGTTGGGGCCAATGGATCTAAAAGGTGGCGAACTGATAGATATAGGTTAAAATATAAAAGGAGAGAAAAAACGAGTTAATAAAAAAAAAAAAATAGAATAAATAAATAAAAACAGTTGGCGTTGTATTTTTTTTTTTAGGCAGAACAGACTTAGTATATAAGTCTGTCAGGAAAGGCTGAGGGGGAAGGAAAAAAAAGAAAAGAAGGAAAAGCAGTTTTCTCGATTGGAGAGAGAAAGGGTAGGATTGGGAAGATTGCTTCCAGCTGTAAAGTGTATTCTGTAAAGTGTATTGTCATTACACTGTGCGAGGAAATTTTGTACTATCTCATAGATACGTCAATTCATATTAATAAGAGGTATATTCAATTCAGCAGAGATATCAGACCTATCAATTGGTATCAGTAGTCTTGACTTTGGCTGTGGGAAGGGCTGCATCAAGGAATGGTTAATACAAGAATGGAGGCCAAATTAGATAGCGTTGACAAGATACTTCAAGATCTTGTGCAAGAACGGGACCGGATTGAGAATCAGCAGCAAGAACGTCTCCAACGTTTGGAAGACTCGATTCGAGGGCTCACATTTGTGGTGGAATCTTTAGCAAGTAAAGAGAAAGAAACTGAAAGATTTGGGGCAAAGTCAGGGGACGGATTAAATGGTCAACCAGATTTCAATAGTTCTGTTACGGAATCAAATTCATCTAGTTCACGTTGGAGGAAGCTAGATATACCAGTTTTTGTAGGAGATGAAGCGTATGGATGGACCAATCGTTTAGAACGTTATTTTCGATTAAAGGCTGTTTCGGAAGAGGAGAAAATGCAAGCGGTCATGGTAGCATTAGAAGGAAAGGCATTAAACTGGTTTCAATGGTGGGAAACCTGTAATCCACATCCATCTTGGGAAGCTTTTAAAGTAGCAGTGGTACGGCGATTCCAACCGAATATGCTCAAGAATCCCTTTGAAATCTTGATTGGATTATCTCAAAAAGGTACAGTGGAGGAATACATTGAGCAATTTGAACAATATGCGGGATTTTTAAAAGGAATACATCAAGATTATTTGGTGGGTATTTTTTTAAATGGGTTAAAAGATGAAATCAAAGCTGAGGTCAAGTTGTATGACCCTCAAACTCTGACAGAATTAATGTGTAAGGCTCAATTAGTGGAAGAAAAAATTTTGGTGACATCAAAAGGTGTTTCTTATTATTCTGGGAGTCGTTCAGACAACTGGTTCTATGAAGCCTTATACGGTCACTAGAAGTTTAACCAGAGAAAATTATAGTTTAGGAGGATCGGTCAATGAAGGAAAAAGTAAAAATACGAGATACTGCTAGTGTATCTAGCAGTAATAGTGGGGGCTACGTGCTAGAGGGGCTCCTTTCGGGAAGTTGTCCAAGACAGAATTACAAGATAAAATCAAGAGAGGCCTTTGTTTTCGCTTGTGATGAAAAATATGGTCCGTATCATGTCTGCAACAATAAACAACTTCATATGTTGTTATTGACAGAAGAAGAAATTTCTGGATTAGAGACCTCTTTAGCCAACTCGAGAGATCAATATGAACGAGTGTGCAGGAGCCCATTTTGCGGCTATCATTATGTACGATGGCGGGGTTAACTACTAAGAAGTCGTGGAAAATTTGGGGCAACATTGGGTCAGAAAAAGTGGTCGTGTTATTGGATTGCGGAGCTTCTCATAATTTTATTTCTTCTAATCTCATTTCCGAGTTGTGGGTTGCTTCGAGAAGATACACCCTCTTTTGTGGTGGAAGTAGGAGATGGTCACAAGGTTCGTTGTCAAGGGAGATGCTCTGGATTTCTTCCGAACTTACAAGGATATCAAGTGCAGCAACAGTTTTATGTTTTTGATTTGAGTGGGGCTGATATTGTGTTGGGATTGGAATGGTTATCAAGCTTGGGAGAAGTTAAAGCTGATTTTGGAAGATTAAGGCTAACTATTGGTAAGGGCGTATGAGAACAAATAATATCCGGAGATCCTACATTGTCCAGGTCTCAATCTTCGTTGAAATTTTTATGGCATGAATGGAAGGAAGAAGGCTCTTGCTACTTACTCAAATGGGAAGAGAATTTGGAACATCTTACTACTCCGGAGATTCCTGCAGAAATACTTAAGGTTTTGGCCATCAATGATGCCGTTTTTCAAGAATCGAAGGCTTACTACCTAGTCGAAGCCATGACCATTCTATTCACCTACAACAAGGTGCTTCAATTCCTAATCTTAGACCATATAAATATTCTCATCAGCAAAAGAATGAGATTGAGAGATTAGTGCAAGAAATGTTGGAATCATTAAGCCCAGCATTAGTCCTTACTCAAGTCCTATAATATTGGTTAAGAAGAAAGATGGGGGTTGGCGTTTTTGTGTCGACTATAGAGCTTTGAATAAGATAACAATTCCTAATAAGTTTCCAATTCCGAGTAATTGAGGAATTATTGGATGAGTTGGCCGGGGCAACTATATTTTCGAAGTTGGATTTGAAATCGAGGTACCACCAAATTCTAATGCGCAAATCGATGTGGAGAAGACTGCATTCCGAACTCATGAGGGCCATTATGAGTTCTTGGTCATGCCTTTTGGACTGACTAATGCCCCTGCAACCTTCCGAGTCTCTTATGAATACAATACTTAAGCCCTATTTGAGGAAATTTGTACTTGTTTTCTTCGACGACATATTAGTGTACAGTTCTAATGTGGAACTACATGGGCAGCATTTAGCGGAGGTCCTAAAGGTATTGAAAATTCAACAATTGAAGTTGAATAAAAAAAAATGCAGTTTTGGTCAATCCAGCCTAGAGTATTTAGGCCATATTATTTCTGGAAATGGAGTATCAGCGGACCCCAAGAAGATTGAGGCAATGCAGAGTTGGCCTATTCCGATAGATGTGTCAGCATTACGAGGATTTTTGGGTTTAACGGGATATTATCGCCGTTTTGTTCAGGGCTACGGCAAAATAGCTAAACCATTAACACAATTATTGACTAAGGATGAGTTTCATTGGAATAAAGGGGCTCAAGATGCTTTTGAACAACTCAAATCAGCTGTCACTCAACTTCCTACATTGGCTGTTCCAGATTTCACTAAACCATTTATTGTGGAAACTGACGCATCTAGTAAAGGGTTAGGGGCAGTCCTAATGCAAGAAGGAAGACCATTAGCTTTTTGGAGCCAAACACTATCGGAAAGGGGGCAAAATAAATCAGTTTATGAACGGGAACTCATGGTCTGTTGTTCGAGGCCATACATAAGTGGAAACATTACTTAATGGGAGGACACTTTATTGTAGTCACCGATCGAGAAAAGTTTGCGATTTCTTATCGACCAACGCTTGTTGATCGAGGAGCAGTTTAAATGGGCTTCAAAATTGATTGGATATGATTTTGAGATCCAATATCGCGCAGGAAAGGAAAATTCGATGGCGAGATGCATTATCAAGAAAAGGATATTTTTTATCTTTGTCTACACTCCAAAGTGAGGAATGGGAAGATTGGCAAGATCAGATGCAACAAGATTCCAAACTCACTTCCATAATTCAAGACTTGTTAGTAGATTCAACATCCCGTAAGGGTTACAAATGGGTAAAAGGAAAACTTTTCTATATGGACAAACTGGTTTTACCACGCACGTACTCACGTATTCCTATTATAATTAAAGATTTGCATGAATCTCCATTGGGGGGGCACAGTGGATTTTTCAGAACATTTTAAAAGGGTGGCAGGAGTGGTATATTAGGAGGGAATGAAGAAAGACATTAAGGACTTTGTGACCCTATGTGCAGAATGTCAGAGAAATAAAGCGGACACGTTGGCTCCAGCAGGGTTACTGCAACCTCTCCCTATACCCACTCAAGTTTGGTCTGATATTTCAATGGACTTTATAGGGGGATTGCCTAAAGTTCAAGGGAAAGACATTATATTTGTTGTAGTTGATCGACTTACCAAATATGCCCATTTCTTTTCCATGGCACATCCTTTTACTGCAGCAGATGTAGCTCAGGTTTTTTTGAAAGAAGTAGTTAAACTTCACGGGTTTCCTTCTACAATCATTTCAGATAGAGATCAACTTTTCCTAAGCAAATTTTGGAAGGAATTATTTCGACAAGATGGGACCAAATTAAAGTTTAGTACAACTTACCATCCCCAAACCGATGGACAAACCGAAGTAGTCAACCGCTGTCTCGAGACATATCTTCGTTGCATGACAGGAACACAACCTAAGAAATGGCCACAATGGCTTCCATGGGCTGAATTTTGGTTTAATACCAACTACAATGCTTCCGCTAGAATGACTCCCTTTAAAGGCCTTTATGGCCGTGACCCACCCTTATTGTTGAAAGGATCTACAATTCCTTCAAAGATTGACAGCGTTAATCAACTACAATAGGAGCGGGATGACATTCTTAAGGAGTTAAAAGCGAACCTAGCTAAGGCTCAAAATCAAAACAAAGTTCAGGCCAATAAACATCATAGGGATGTTGAGTATCAAGTGGGAGATTGAGTATATTTGAAGGTACAACCTTATAGGCTTAAATCCTTGGCTAAGCGCCCAAATGAGAAGTTAGCTCCGCGATTTTATGGCCCTTACCAGGTGATTGATAGAATTGGACAGGTTGCCTACAAATTGGAATTACCTCCACACAGCAAAATACATCCAGTATTTCATGTTTCACTGTTAAAGAAAACCATTCAGCCATCGACGGATCCTCAACCATTACCAGCTTCATTAACAGAAGATCATGAATTAATTATGTTACCAGCTCAATTACTGGACACACGAACCAACAGTCAAGGAAAGATGGAAGCCCTCATCCAATGGAAAAATCTTCCACCTACGGAGAGTAGTTGGGAATTAGCTGAAGTTATATCCCAGGAATTTCCTACATTTCACCTTGAGGACAAGGTGAAGCTTCTGGGGAGGAGTAATGATAGATATAGGTTAAAATATAAAAGGAGAGAAAAAACGAGTTAATAAAAAAAAAAAAAAAGAATAAATAAATAAAAACAGTTGGCGTTGAAATTTTTTTTTTAGGCAGAACAGACTTAGTATATAAGTCTGTCAGGAAAGGCTGAGGGGGAAGGAAAAAAAAGAAAAGAAGGAAAAGGAGTTTTCTCGATTGGAGAGAGAAAGGGTAGGATTGGGAAGATTGCTTCCAGTTGTAAAGTGTATTTTCATTACACTGTGCGAGGAAATTTTGTACTATCTCATAGATACGTCAATTCATATTAATAAGAGGTATATTCAATTCAGCAGAGATATCAGACCTATCACGAACATAGGGCGTGTCAGTGGAAAAGTTGACAACTATGAATTAGAGTGGCAAACCAAATTAGGATATAGTGTAAAAGTGATAGTCATTCTGGAAACAAGATACACAACAGAAGAGTCGACTAATTTGAATTCCACTTTTTGTTTTGTTTTAAAGCAGTGGAATAGTGACAAAATAGGTCCATGGATGATGGTACCGCTTTGATACCATGTTAAAAGGAGAAAAATAGATGGAAGAATGCAAAAACTGTGTATGAACTACACAACAAGGTCCATTTTTATACATAAGATGATGACAATAAATACAAATAATTGTAGGATATTTTATTCCTAAATACATGATATGATATGTCCATAAATATTCTAATAAGGGTCTGTTTGGACAAATTTCCACATAAGCACTTCCAGGGGGGAAAATAAGAAGAAAATGAAATGCCCTTCTCTATAAGTTAAAGTTAGCTTATGCAAGGAATTTATAGAACCTTTTTGATGTGGGCTATAATTTCTAATAACCTAAACCATTAAGGTGAAGCTCTTTGAGTGCACACCAAGAAAGCAATTCTATTTCTATAAAGGAATCACTCTTTTACTGAATTGTTCTTTCTTTTGCCTCCTTGTTACAAGCATCATCTCTGCTTGTTTTCCCCTTAGCCTTTCTAATTTGGTGGTTTATTTTTGGGTTTTTGAACCACAAAAAGTCCACGGGGCTGTTGAAATTTGTTGGCTTTGTTTGGTAATGGCGGTAGGGTCACATGATGTTGCAAGCCTTTTTCCATTTCTAATATTCAAAGTTTCTTCCACCTCTTCTTCCTCGTCCTCCTCTGTCTCCTCACTTTGTTGAGGTTCAATTGAAGTATGCCTCCATCTCAGTTTTTTTCTTTACATTGGCTTGTCTTAGTATATTTCTTACTTTGATGGAGACTTTATACAAATATCAATGTCTCCTCTCAATCCATTTGATGTCTCTTTTCTTTTGTAGTACTACCCATAATAGTTTTGCCACAGAAGTCATAAGTAACAGCTTTCCTGTTGATATTTTCTAAACTATTCTGCTGTCAAGCTATTCCAAGTTATTCAGTTGGGCTTTGCCTGTTCACAGGAAGTGATTGAGGCAGAGGCAAGCCTGGGTGGTGTTCCATGTTTCTGAGCATGTGTTTCATCCATTCTAGGTTGATGACATAACAGAAAAGAAGTAGAACAGGTTTGAAACAGTAGTGGGTAGGCCAAAACAGTGATGAAATCACCAGAAACTGGTCAGAAAAGAGATGTGTCCTTCATACAGATGATGATCTCCTCTGAAAACTGGTCAGAACAGAGATGGAGTGCCAGAAACTTGCCAGAAGCATCTGTGTGCCACCAAAACAAACATATGCTGGATGAGGTGTTTATTTGTTGGATATGGCGACTTTAGGTTCCACATTGGGGGCATGGGAATCTGAGAGGAAAGGATACCCAGACCACATTAAATAATAAGGCGGAATAATCCCCAGATCCCCCAAAGCATTTAATGACACATTTTCTAGGTTAAATTCTGCTTTGTGCCTGTTGAAGCAATAGTGGCCAAGAAGAATGTGGCTGCAATTTGTGGGACTACGGGCACAAAATTGTGCACTATTAGACTGAAGTTTAGTAGTTAGTGTTCTATAGATGAATCAACTTCTTAATTAGCTTGTTAATTAGAGCTCTAATTGACTTTACTCAATACTAATTATAGATATGTTTGAAACATTCCTGCTCAATATAGCATATGCATCAATCTTGTTAGGAGGATTTCTCTTTGTTTGATACACCCCTGCTTAAGACTTCTGTTCTTTATTGGCAGGAGAGACTATACTTTTAGGAGTTTTAGAATTTGTGTCTTGTTTGCAGTGTGATGTGGCTGTTTTCATTTACCTTACCTATACTAACTCTATTCTTGTTTATGATTTTTGTAGAATATTAACAATAGAGAATCTGTGGAGCCACGCTGGAGGCCTGGCACCCAAGGGCGGGGAGCTAGGGGTGGTCGGGGAAAATTTTCACCTCATAATATATCACATGGTGAATAACCATTCTCAACTACTACATATTTGAGGGTTTTTTTTTCATATGTTTTTTTATTTTCCTTGTTAGATAAGCCCCCTTCCTTTCAGTTAAATTGTTTTTGCTTTCACTACACTAGCTTCTGTATATCTAGCAGTATTAGTAATGGGTAGATGAGTCAGATCTGAACATGGTGTAATATCATCCGGCTGTTCTCTGTCATATTATTTCAAACCAATGGTCATGCTGCATGTCTTGGAAGTTTTTACCTGGCCCTTTTCATATATATATATATATACCTTGTACCTTAGATGAAAAATTCTGGTTATATTGCATTCTAGTCTCAATTATTTCAATATTTATAGATATGTTGTTGGCCATCCAGTGCTCCTAAATCAATATTATGTTTTATGGACCTTCTCTCAGATGCTGCTGGTAGCAAGAATTCTGGTACCGGAAAAAATGATGGAACTCATCAAGCCACTGAGAAAGTTGTGCCACCTATGGCAGCATCTCAAGAGATAATATCTAAAGAAAAAAGTTCTGGAACAAGGTAGATTAAATAATGTCTTATGTTGATAACTATAGTTGCTATCCTGTCAATTAATTTAAATTCTTGTACATTTGGTTCAAACTACATAACAATACATGTTTTTTCAGCTCTGTACCCGTTAATGCCAATGGTCCAACAATTGTAGTTTCTGGAGCTATTAGTGTTTCAAGTCCTTCCCCTTCATCTGCTGGAACTGGAGACAGATTGGGTCCATCTTCTGGTGATATTAATAATTTGAATAGTGCTTCTCCTTCTTATAGTTCAAGTAAAGTTGCTGCAGTTGCTTCTGGAAGCACATCAATTCCTTCCTCCAGCATACACTCAGGATCTGGACCAGCATCTTCATCGGCTGCTTACTTTTCTTCTTCAGACCCCGTACTGGTTCCATCTGAAGATTTATGGTTTCCTGGTGCTGTTGGTGCAATTAGACGAGAAGTGGGAAACCTACACCCTCCTGGGGAATTAAATGCTGTTAACTCTGCCGAGAACAAATTAACTGCTGGTTAGAATATTTGATTTTTTCTTCCATAATTTGTTGGTTTTAAAAATTTCCAATGTAATTAACGAAGAACCTTTCCCTCCTTTAACTTATGCCAGCTTCTGAGACTGGTAGCTCTTCTGTGCAAGGAAAGATTCAAGGCAAATCCCAGGGAGCAGCAAAGAATCATGTTACTGAGATGTCACCCACTTCATCAACAGTAACTCATAGTAGCCCTTCAACTAGCAGACCTTCTTCTAATTACAGTAGCCGATCACAACAATTAATTGGCTCTCAAAAAGGTAATTTATTTATCTCTGCTGTTCATAAGGTACATTTTATATCCTGCATAGACCCTGGATTTATATGCATCTCATAAATATATCTTATGTGTGAACCTTGTGTTTATTCTTCTGTTGCTGTTGTCCCCCATCTCTCACAACCTTCTTCCACGAAATCTATGACAATGGACCCATCTCTGAAGGATGGTTGGTTCTTTTATGTGAATTCTCTGTTCCTGAGTCTCTGTTCTTTGTTTCCATCTCTTTGATCATTCATCTCTGTTTCCTTCTCAGTTCCTTTTGCCTTTATATTCTGAGATCTGATTTTTTATTTTCTCAATCTCTCTGCCTGTGTTTTGAGTCTATTATTCCTGCTTTTTAAGTAAGTATCTCGTCTGACTCTCTGTTCCTTCCTCTTATGCCTCTGTTAAGGGGTTTGTTCATGTTTATTCTGCAGTTTTTTACTCTACTTTTTCTGTATATATTCTTCTTTATTGCAGCTATCATTGTCATACTTCTGCCATCGTCTGCAACATGATACATATTGTTATGGTGTAATTTGGGCTTTCTGCCACCAGTGATAACATTGATTTGAATATTATTATTTATGTTAGAATGTATATAAACTATATTTGTGTTGATTAGATTAGAACAATTACTCACTGTTTATCAGGCAAACATTAGTTTTTTGTCAGCTAAGATTACTTCTAATTGATTGTAAGTCATTAAATACCTGAAATCCTTATTTGTACAGTGTAGCCTAACACATTTTCTGTATGATTCTCTCTAGTATGGAAATTTGTAGGTTTATATATTTTTCTTTCAAGTTAGTAGTTTCATACTCATTTAAAAGATAATGATTTAATTGTTTATTTTTTTTCTCCTTAAAAAGTTGTTTATGATAGAGTAGCATAATGCGTTTGGATCCACATAGCTATCCTCATAGTGTGGAACAAGGCTTCTTGAACTTCATGTTGTAGAAATTTTATCATGATATTGTTATAGCATGATTACATTTATGTAGAAAACCTCCTATGCCTTTCAGGTATTGTGATGCATACTATTGTACATATCTTGTTATGTAAGTTGTTACATTATTGTAAAGATTCTGTCATTATTCATTACCCCGTTATTCTGATGTCTTTAACTGTTGGATGTATGGTTTTAATTTCAAGATATTGCTTGGTGAATATTTGTATAGATTTGTATGGATGCTGCTCGTGGTGAGTGTTTGTAAAGTTTTCCTAGTTGTAGCCATTTATGATGATTGATTAACTTTTTCTCCCACTGCTGCCAATTACTCATTGTACTTGATCCCATTTGGTGGGGAAATAACTTATTTGTTACAGGCTGTTAGGTTGTCTTTCGCTTGATTTGTAATTAGTTTCTATTTTCAACAGCTGGTTCTAATAAGGAGTGGAAACCAAAGCCAACATACACAAATAATCAGGGTTCTGGACCAGCTAATGCATCTGAGGCTCCTGTTTCAGTTGACCCAGTTAGCCAGTCACAATCTACATCTAGAGTCCTTGACTCTGAAGATGCTACTTCAAAACTTCAGAGGAAGCTGGAGGATTTTCATCTCCCACAGCGTCAACATGTTATACTTCCAAACCATATCATTGTACCCGATTCTGAAAAGAACAAGTTTAGCTTTGGAAGTTTGGGAGTCGCTTTTGGAGTTAATACAACCTATGTTAGTGGCCCAGAGAGTGAAAAGAGTTCTACACCTGTTTCGGAAACATCTCAGACTATTGAAGAAACAGTGGAGGAACAGGATTCAAGGTACCTACTAGTGACCAGCCTAAATTAGTATTCTTTTCCTTCCATCCACTTTTGGTGGTATAATGATATTTATCAGAGCCTAGATGTTTACTTTATCCCTTTTTGCAATTTTTTTATTGCAAGAAGTATCTTATATTTCTATTGTCATTTTCAATCTCATATCCCTATTATCTTCAATTTATTTTTTCTGGAAAACATTTTACTTCTCCATTTTGTTCTGACAAATATTTTCTTTTAAACCAACAGTCAAAATGCTGTGGTTACTTCTGAGGTTGGAGATTATCCTGATCATCCACAATCACCCAGTAATGGAGCTGAGAATTTGTCATCCATTGAGGTTGATGGTTCATCCAGTGCTATTCAAGAGTATAATGAGTCCAAGCAAGACACTGCTTTGCCATCTGGAGGTCATCAGTACTCAGGGGTACTTACTTCTCCAAACTACAGTTTTGGTTTTGTGCCCCCTATGTTGGGTACTCAGCTTACACCGTTTGACAATTCTGAGTCTCAAACACGTGATGCTTCACGGCTTCCTAGTTTTATTGTGAGCCTACTATCTATATTTTTGTTCATTGTTTAATTTATTATACCTTTTTTGTTGCTTAAAATACTTTATTGTTATCTTACTACAGGTTCATCAACAATTGGATCCAAGTAGTTACTATGCCCAGTTTTACCGCACAGGTGCTGATAGTGATGGCCGTCTCTCTCCTTTTTCTTCTGCTGGGGCTAACACCAAGTACAATGGCAATGTTACAGTGTTTCCAGCTCCAACTTCTCAATCTCCTCAAGAGGTTTGCACTGATGTTTCTATTCAAATGAATATCTGGACCATCCATATAAAATTTTATGCTTCAAATTTGAAAATTTCTGCCTGTTACACTCCTCCCCCTCCCTTCCTTTTAGTGCCTGCTGCCTGTATTGGTGGGATTTACTAATCGTGTATCTATTTTATGCATATTTAGTAGCATAGTCTGATTACTTACATATCATACAATGAATGTTATTTTCCTAAAGGCTATCATGTCTAGTATATGCTTCATAGTTGATCCTTTTCTCAAATGATATATGAGTATATAGTTGATCATTTATTCAATGTTTTTTAGGTTTGGTCAATCTTGAAATTTGAAAGAGGTTTGGGCCTTGACTCAGCTGGATTTTGTTGCATATACCTCTTATGCTGAGCTTTTCATGTGCTGTTCATTTCTAGATTTTCTTCCTATTGTCAATTAAAATGCTTTTAAGGTGGAATTGGTCATAGGCATAGGAGTGAAGTAAGGAAAATGTTGAATTGAGGAACGGAAGTTGGCAAGGTAGAACCTGCTTATTTCTAGATTTTCTGTCACACTTAATTTAATATTCCGTGTTTGATGAAATAGATCAGAGTGGGAGTGAAGTTAGGAAATGTTAACGATGAAATAACTCACAAGCCTCATCCTGGCACTTAAGTTTTTGGGAAAATTGGTGTTTGACAAGTAGTAGAGTTGCACCATCCTATGGCCTTTTTAAAAAAAATAAAAATAAAAGGACATGTTGGAAAGCATCACCAAGAGAAGTTAAGTCCTAACTAAGTTAGCATTTCAATCTCATAAATCATGTGCTGCCAACATGGAAAATCAATTCAAAATAAAAGAAAAATATTACAAGAGTAAGTGGGGGGACCAAACCAAAACCCATTTAAGAAAACCTATATTCAGGCAGACCATCCTATATGACTTCATCCTGGTCATATTCCACTTCTAAGTCCCATAAAATCCTGAACTCCTCTCACATTGTATCACAGTCTATATGTTCAAGTGGTGCTTAGGAGTTTGATTATTGTCATCCCCATTCCCCTAAATAAAGCTGAAATTTAGCACTAGACTGTCATCAAGCCTAAATGACTTGATGGTTAACCCCCGCCTAACAAGTTCAACGTTTGGTAACCGTAGTTCTTGACAAGATGCTTCACTAAATTAGAAAGACAATTGTTGGAGATTCGATCCGACATCAACTAGTGGGATGGTAAAAATTTTATATGTAAGTCAAGGGTAATTCTCCAAACAAACCGGATATGATAGGCTGATTTTATAGGATTGGGTCTAAATCAAATTTTTAAAATGGTATTAGTCTACCCATAGATATCCAGTTCTCTAATTTTCACACGTGAGATGTTAATTTTTCATCGTGAGGGGTGTATTGGAGAACAACCCTTAACTTACAAACTAGTTTTGTAGAATTAAATTAGACCTAAACTCAAATCTAAAAAAAAAATCAGTTAGAGCAAAGCATTTACACTCAACTGCTATAAAATGATACTTCTATTACTTGTTAAATGGTTTTATTAGAAATGAATTGGACTTAAGTAAACCCCAAAAGCTAGCTCAAGCTAGGACAATTCCAAGCGTTGTAAGCAGTATTTTCACCATATTCTTAGCCCGCAAGGGAAATCTTAATACCCTTCTCACACACACTCAGGACTGAACAACTGCAGCATAAAGTTTGGAACACTGGACATCTGTAGGTGACCTAACATCAATATTAGATAGAGTTTGATACAATATTAGAAATGAATCAGGCATAACACAAACCAAACACCTAGCTCGAGGAGGGACAGATTGTCCAAGCCTTGTGAAAATCGTTTTGACCATAGCTGATGTAGACCAATTTAATAGGCATACAAAATTAGTGTGCTTTCATTTGACTTGTTATCTTTTTTTTTTTTTTTTTTTTTTTTTTTTTTAAGTGTAGTCTATATTTGAACGTGTGCTCTCCTTTCTGTGTAGCCCATGTACTTTTTCTTCACACTTAAAAAATTGGTCTGAGTTTTTTCATGGTGATGCTGACAAGAACTGAATTCATTATCTATAATTATAATACTATTCAAATATTATCTTTAATAATGAAATAAATTTGTATCATTTTGGGAAATCACACCCTAACATTAAATTCTAAGCATTTTATATGTTTTTTACCATTAGATTAGTGCACAGTTTTTGAAAAAAATTTATTTGCAGGGAGGTGTGTTGTCCACCGCAGGTCCAGCACCACTTGTGACTCAAGCTGCTGGGCTAATGCAAAGCTCAATAGCCGTTACACAACAGCCTGTCCCTGTCTTCCGACCCAGTGGGGTGCATATATCTCATTACCCTCCTAATTACATTCCTTATGGTCCCTATTTTTCACCATTTTATGTCTCACCTCCAGCAATCCACCAATTTTTGGGTAATGGTGCATTTCCTCAACAACCACAGGCTGGCACTGTATATCCCCCTCCCCCAGCTGTGGCTCCTGCAGGAATGAAATATCCCCTTCCACAATTCAAACCCGGCGCAAATGCTGCAAACCCAACTCACCTTGTAATGCCAAGTGCCTATGGTGTATATGGCTCCTCTGCTGCTGGTTACAATCATAATTCTGCAGCAGGTGCAGGGAATTCAACCTCCAATGAGGATCTTGGTTCCTCTCAGTTCAAGGAAAGTAATGTATACGTCAGTGGACAGCAGGTTAGTTTCTTTTGACTATTATATCTTCAGTTAATTTATTGATTATGAACTTTAATGGCCGTCCTTTGAACTGCCTGACAATTACTACATCCGTACATAGAAGTTCAATTAGGTTTAACAGGTTTAACCCCAGCTCCTACATGACAGTTATGAAAAGCATGTCACAGTTTACTACTGCAATCAAATTGTTTATTATTTTGGTAGCGGAAAACCTACATTTGATGATAATTATGTTCTGAATTTCCACTGCAGAGTGAAGGTTCAGCAGTGTGGGTGGCTGCACCTGGCCGAGACATTACCAGTATGCCCACTAGTACATTCTACAACCTCCCACCTCAGGGCCAGCATGTGACTTTTGCCCCAACTCAGGCTGGCCATGGCACCTTTGCTGGCATCTATCACCCTGCGCAAGCAGTGACAGCAGCAACAGTTCATCCACTGCTACAACAATCCCAGACAATGGCTGGAGGAGTTGATATGGTGGGTCCTGGTGGAAACGTTTATCAGCAGCCTCAGCACACGCAAATCAATTGGCCGAGCAACTACTGAGGCTGGGAATCAGTCTTCCTGACAGCTAAATTAGATAATTGAGTCCTATCTGGGGAAAATTTTTGAGGAATGCCAAAATATGGTTGGGTATCTATGAGGACAACATGGCAATTGGCTACATTTGAGTGTAAAAAAGCTGGAAATTTGCCAATATGATCTTCTGATTGCTTGGATTGAGGACATATGAAGGGTAGGACACCTGTAACCGATATTGACCCTTAAAGTTAGACGAGGTAGAAACATATGCAGGCCTTCTCTTTTTTACTCCTGCTATTTTGTGTTACCATTAATACCTTTTCATAGCTCCAAGCTTTTCCTTCCGTCTTTTGTTGAGGTCCTTGAACTCTATTAAGAGTATTGTTGAGTGATGATGAGAAATATCCATTCTTTCTTTTTAGTTTGGGTTTATAGGGTTTGGAAGGTTTAGGTTGGTGGGGAAAGCTTTTCTGGTGCCCCTTGTCTTACCTGTAAAGTGAATTTTGATAGCAAGAAAATCATTTACTTAAGCTGTTGTATTGCTATGGGCAAAGTGAAAGTGTCAATTGTTTTCATCTAACTAATATTGTTTGCATGTTATGTCATGGTTTATAGAAAAAATGTTTGGTTAAGACTAAGGAACTCTTGTGCAATTCTTTCAAAACGTAGATGCATGCGTGGATCCTGTGTTGTACTTTAAATCTGAACAATCCCTTTCTTTGGAACTTTGCATTTCATCCAAAGTAATGCAGGATTGTGTCCATCGCGTCATTGATGTACCAACACTGATGGATGTTTTGGGTGTGTATGGTGACATGTCAAACGTGAATGAGTACACACAAACCTCACGATTAGTGTTACGTGTGTTTTAATAGTTTATGCATTGACAAAGTTTGTATATGCCGAAATATATCTAAATGCTCATTCCTTAACATTTTACACTGTTATTTATTGAATTTTCAACATCTTTTCTGCTTTTAAACGTATTAAAACGAAATTTAATTCTGAGGGGAGAGAACATTCTTTTTAATAATTAGCATATTGGTGGATTTAGAGATGAAGGAAAATTCTAGAAATTTTTGGAAAAAAATATGGATTAAATTATTTAACTTGAAAAAGAGATTAATTATTTTATCTGATTTAAATTCTTTCCCTGTTTTGAGTAAAACGCACACCATACATGACATGTCAAACTTCAATGGATAATAGTGTAAGACATTTTAACATTGTGCATCAAGATTAAACTTTTATAAATAGATTAAGTATTTGATATATTGTAAGTGTTTGTTTTTTCGTAGAATCGTCTCGTCATGTATTGTCATATGACTACTATAGTAGTTTAAGTTATAAATTTTTATCATACATTTAAATGATTTGGTAATGAATAATGTACTCACACAACTTCCTAACTACACAGTTATAATTTTTTTTATTATTATTCAATTCTAACTTATACTCACAACCGTATAAAACATGTCATTCGTCATTGATGAAACTTTCTCCACTAGTAATTGATAATAATAGTAGATTAATAAAAGAAAAATATGATATTCATAGGTTAATGTTAGGAAAATATGCCAAGATTGTTGACCAGCTGACCTAGTCACTGCTACGGGTTGATGAACCACAGTCGCATAGTTTGTTTTCATGGATTCTTGTCTGTGTGTACAAGTATAAAATAAAGTTGAGAAAAGGGCTATAGAGTTTGGTGCCAAAAATTGGTGGTTAGATGAATCCACACACAAGCGACAGATACATGTACAACAACAACCTTAACTAAGCCCCAGTAACGAACCAAACTCCATAGAACTAATTATTATGTCTCTACAATTCTCTTTATTTGTTTTTCTATTTATTTATACTCCCCTGTATTAGGTAATAGTATTATTATTAATATTATTAATATTATTATTTTACCCAAAATAAAACCCCATTTATTTATTTACAAGTAAAGTCCCTGTTTTCTGAAAAAGGGGTTGGGAATTGGGAAGAAGAAGAAGAAAAGGTTGGCTTTTGCCCCAACACACCGCGAGTGAGTGAGAGAAATGGTAGAGGGAGAGAACGTAGAAATAGAAACTGAAGCAGAATCAGAAGCATCATCGGCATGGAACCTCGGGAAACACACTCAGATAATCGAGCTGTCGGAGAAGCTGTTGAACGGCAACCTCGCCGCCAAAATTGAGGCTGCGAGGGAGATAAGGAAGATGGTTCGGAAATCATCGTCCTCGACGAAGATACGTGCGAAGCTCGCTGCGGTGGGTGTGATTGAACCGCTCGTGCTGATGCTGTCTTCTTCCAACATCGACGCTCGCCAGTCCTCTCTTCTCGCTCTCCTCAACCTCGCTGTTCGCAATGAACGGTACCTTCTCTCCCAATAAGCATGCTTTTTGTGAATTCTGAAATGGGTCTGCGACTTTGGTTAGTGGGTCTTTCTGTAAATCTTGTTTGATTTGTTTGAATCTTATTTTTTGAGTTACTATGTGTTGTGGTATGTGGATATTAAGTGTTACTGTTATGGTATGTTACTCTCCATGTTCACATAGTAGTGGGAAATGTGGATATTAAGTGTTACTGTTATGGTATGTTATTCTCCATGTTCACATTGTTTTTTCTTCATAAATCGTACTGCAGTATTTAGTTGATGGGTGGCTGACGTTTCTCTTTATTTTTCATGACACTGTTCAAAGAAAACTACATATTTTGTTCGAAATAGCTTCCCTAAATTATATGATGGTACAGGTTTTGTTGGTTTGTTTTTGGATAAACTTATTTGGTGTTCAAGATGCTAAACTTAGGCTAATAAAAACCTGTTTTGGCATAAAAATTAAGCAATATGGAATGTGGACTAACTTATAGTCTTCAATTCTTGATACATGTTTGATCTTCTTTTATAAAAATCAATATTGCATCAGTATACCCTTTATTGAAGATAAGTGGCTTGTCGTTATAGGATGTGTTTATTATTTAGTGTTCATGTTTGATCTGTTTTTTAGAATTTTACTTTTTTATTGTTCATGTGTTGGTCAATTTGAGTCTTAATATTACTAGATATAGTTTCTGTTCTATCCTGAGCAGTTCTCACAACCTACCATGACATTTGTGACTGAAATTCCATAATTTTATAGCTGTAATTAGTAGTAAGCTAAAACAGAAAATAAAAAAGATACTACCTGTTTTAGCCTGAAGCTTAAGAAATGATCTAGGGTGGTTATCATACTGGAATGCCTCAAGGGTGCCCTGGAGGAGGGGTACCAGCGGTGACATTTCTTTGGGTGAGGAGCGTGGGCTTTTAAGGGTACCTTTACCTGGAGTGCTTACTGCACCTGCTAATGATCGTTGTGATGACTGCCAGCTCCTTTTTCACACATTTTCTTTTTGCTTGTGGAGTATTTAGTAAAATAAAGTTCAGGATGGTCAAATTGGATCTAGGGTATTCCCGATCAGTTTAATGCATTGTTATCATTATTGTACATTCGATACAATTGATTCAATTCAATTCAAGGAGCTGCTGATGCAAATCATGTTGTGAATCATTTTGGTGCTTGAATCAGAGGAATCACAGATGAGTTGCTTGCGGCACATGAATTGTGTGATTCTGGCACAACGCACAAGCTGGTGGTGCCCAAACCTGGTCGGGTTTGACATGACTATTTCCTGAAAAATTTTAAAATAATTCAACATCCCAAAAAAAGTTAGTGGAAAAGAGGGAATAGGCTGAAGCAATGAGGACAATGAATTGGGTCTTTGTGGTGGAAGGATATGTGGTTTATCTGATTAAGTGTGGAAGAATTGCCACAGATAAGGAGCTTTGCTCATTGCCTTGACTTGGTCCAATGCCCAAACAATGGATAAAGACTATGGCATGAAATTATTTGTGAGGATTGCTATTCAGGTTTTAAGTATGTACTGAATTATAAACCGAAATTATAATTCTTACCTATTTTTTGAATCTTAAATAGGATTGTATCGTGAAGAGCAAAATACTGAATTGCTACCAACATAAATTACATTTTCATGTGAAGAAACATTAAAAACATTACAGATATACTAGATTCTAAGAACTCATTGCATGACCATTGATCAATAAACATATGCATAAAGTTCAAAATAAACCAAGATTCAATTCATAAATCAAAATTACAAAACACAATGACTGCACAACTTTATGTGAACCCCTCACGAATGTAGAAAAGATGACAGATTAATATTTCTTGTTACAGTACATAAACTAATCTAATGATTTTTTCCATTGATCATCCCCATGATGAAAGTCACTTTATTCATTCTTGTCCTCTGATATCAAAAGCATCACCATTGATGCATTTTGCAAATCCTTGAAGCAGAAACTCAACCTATCCACTTGTCTTTTGTTTCATAGATGTTCCGTCTTTCCCCTTTCTAACAAATGACTCCAATGTTCCCTTTTATGTATTAGCATCCTGGGGTGCTTAGCACCTATGTCAAAACACTGTTGACTTTTAGCATCTTACCATCTTCAGCTTTTTCTTTATTTTCTGGCAATTTCAGAAAGATCACTCTAACGTCGCCCAGTGCAGATGTACTAGCATTCACATTCTCATTTGTTCCAGTAAGGCGATACTTCATTCTTGTAACAACACCCGAACATTGATGCAAATAACACTTGTCTGAAAGCTTATGCTTAGGAACCGAACACTTTTAGAGTGGTTCCACATGACCACAATGTCCTTTTTATTTGTTTTTTCCATTTACCCCACTGAGAAATCATAAAAGGAACAACAAAGAGTATGAACCTTTATAAAAATGGCAGAAAGGGACAAGTGGGGACCAACAACATGTGCAGCGCTGTGGGAGGAAAAACAAAGCATAAAAAGCACAATGGGTATTGGGGGAACATGTCCAAACTTCCAACTGGAAGTGGCAGAGTGGGGGACCATCTTTTGGAATCATGGGAGGGAAAAATTCTTCAGTTTCCCTCCAATCTTATAAAGTAATTTGTAAAAAAAAAAAAAAAAAAACGTAAATCAATTCTTAAAAACAGGTCACAGTGGCCCGACCTGCTTTTACATATGATCTGGACATGCGCAAATTGCACAATTCAACTCACAAATGTGATTCTTGAGATTCAAAAGCCATTTCAAACAATTTCAGGTGTGATTCTGAGTTGATTTCAATTCACCTTGCAATCTGTGCCAATCACCAAGGAAATCATATCAAATTATGATTTTATTGAATGAGCCACATGTTTATACTAAAATTAAATGTACAACCAGTAGAAGTTAGCGATTCTCCACTTTGATGATGAGTATGAGGGTATATAACAAGATACTTATGAAAGGGACAAAGCTCACCACCTCAATTAGTTTGAACAACTTTAATTTTCATATTAAATTGAACTTCAACCATAGACAAAAAATGTTGAAAAATTGACAAAGCAGCATATTTTTGTTTTAAAAGAAATATCATGTAAATCTTGAAATAGCATCAACAAATTAGATGTCATAGGAAAAAATATTTGAAGGCACAACAGAAGTAGGGCCCCACCCGACAAGTCACAAAAAAAAGTTCTAAAGATGACTTATACGTAGTAAAAATAATGTTGTGAGAGAAGTCTATGAGGTTTCCCCATATAGCAAACAACACAAAATAGCATATGTTCTTTGTAATGAAAAGAAATATTATAGGATTAAAGAACAAGACATAAAACATTTAAATTGGGTAGATTTAATCTTAAATGTCAAGTATACTACAATTGATATTTTTACTCAACACAACAGTATACCAGAAAATAACGAAACCTACGGGCTAATCTTGTGACTGAAAAGCTATATACAAATTAGGAAATTGATAAAACAATGATTCAGATGAAACTCAAAATAAACATTGTTATTTTGAGCAAATTTGCTGACACTAGTTAAATTTTTAGTAATTTTAGGTACATGTAAAAGATTGGTTAGAAGAAAACACATGTTAGGATTTTGTGAGGAAGAGAGTAAAAAATCAATAAACATTGTCCATTACTGATGAAAATCTGGTCAAGACCTTCAAAAGGTAAAGTCTGGTGGATATTTTGAGAGGCATTAGTTACATGATATGAAGCACCAAAATCATGAACCCAAGAAGTTGACTTGATCATTATTAACAATCATAACTTGTGAATTCTGGAATGAACAAACTGCTGCTGTGAATTATTGAATGATTGTGATGGATACGATTGTTATTGAAAGTGATGAGGCGATTGTGGCTAGGTAGAAAAATTAGATACTGCATTTCCTTGAAATGATGGCAAGTGCATACCATAGTTAGATTAGACATATTTTGCGATGTTTGGATTTGAGGATTGAAGTAATTGTAGCAAGTGAGAGTTATATGATCAAACTTGAAGCAAACTTGGTTTTAAGTGAAGCTATGACTACCACGTCCTCTTCCACAATTAGATCAACCACTTCTTCCTCTAAAGAAGCCAGTGAAATTAAGTGTTTTGTAAATTTGTACCATTAAGGACAAGTTCAACTTGATGATGTTGGAGAAAGCTTGAGATTGCATAGGTTTTTGAACAACATTTATCAATGGAGAAAGTGTTGAATCTGAAACAGATCATTTCATATATTTTTGTTGGCACAGTTCATGAACAAGATATATTGATACTAAAAGAAAATGTAGAACTAGTAAAAGTTAATAATTCTCTTACAGATACCTATATATATTGATCAGAGAATTACTAATCTGTTAGTTGTAACTGTGGACACAAAAACAGTTACAACTAACGATAAACAGAAAAAAGAAATAGCATTAACATATTTGAATCAAACTTTTTGTGTGATTCTAATAACCATGTACAGAAGTTTTCATCGTTGCACCACATCCTTCTGCCCAGAAATTATGTCCTTACTTGTGAGGCAGTTGTCATTGTGATGCTTTTAACCTGGGGAGAGAAATTTGCTGATATTACCTACTGCAAATATTAAACATGGACCAAACATACATGTTTTTCACTATTTTCTGATGTGGCATCATAAACATACTTCTCAATTTCGTACTAGGATATTTTAACTTATGTGGCATTAGCATCACCTATATATCTTCCTATTAGGTAGCTTCTCATTGTCTTGTTAAAATGTACATGCTACTATGCTAGTTATGTTTTTTCTGTCTGAATCGCGGTAATGTCTGGTCATTGTTGCGAGTGCTTCTTAATATCCTTGGCTATCAATTTACCTGATTTGGCGGTGACTAAGACATTTTTGAGTGTGGTATATCTTAAGTATTGACTTTTGTTTCAACTGAAGCAAATTCATGTTTACTGGATAGACTGTGACTAAAATGGACGAAGCATTATGCGTCATCTTTAATGTATTCTTCTACAATTCTTTTTGTTGTTATTACTATCGTATTTAATGCTTTGGGTCCTCCTCTTCATTCTTTTCTTTTGTGAATTAGGTTTCTCTTATAAATTAGTTCTTCGCATAACATTTTGGAGTTCATATTTGTTAGAAACAAGGTCAAAATAGTGACAGATGGTGCTATGCCTCCACTGGTGGAGCTCCTCAAGATGCAAAATAATGGTATAAGAGAATTAGCTACAGCTGCAGTCTTGACACTCTCAGCTGCTGCATCCAACAAACCCATTATTGCTGCTTCTGGAGCCGCACCTTTCCTTGTTCAGATTCTCAAATCTGGAAGTGTTCAAGGCAAAGTTGATGCTGTTACAGCTCTCCATAATCTTTCTACCAGCATTGAGAATTCCATTGAACTTCTTGATCCAAGTGCTGTTTTCCCTCTGATCAATCTTCTTAAAGAGTGCAAGAAGTATTCCAAGTTTGCAGAAAAAGCCACAGCACTGCTTGAAATCCTTTCCAACTCCGAAGAAGGGCGAATTGCAATCTCAATTGCAGATGGTGGAATCTTAACTCTAGTAGAGACAGTTGAAGACGGATCACTTGTCAGCACAGAACATGCTGTAGGAACTCTGCTAACATTATGTCGAAGCAGCCGAGATAAATACAGGGAACTGATTCTTAAAGAAGGAGCGATTCCGGGTCTTTTACGTCTGACCGTGGAGGGCACGGCTGAAGCTCAAGATAGAGCACGTGCGCTTCTGGATTTGCTCAGAGATTCTCCCTCAGAAAAGAGACTAACCTCATCAGTTTTGGAGAAAATTGTTTATGACATTGCTGAACGGGTAGATGGTGCAGATAAAGCTGCTGAAACTGCCAAACGGTTGTTGCAAGATATGGTTCAGAGGAGTATGGAACACAGCATGAAATGCATCCAGCATAGGGCTGCATCTTGCACACCTTCTATTCCTTCCACTTGATGTGTACCTTTTTTTCCTCATCAAGCAACTGCACAATTTAGTTTTAACTTGTACATATGTGTTTTCATTTTTATTTTTTCTCTGGGGGGCCAGTTAGTGTGTTAACCAGATCACCATGGAAAGTGAGTCTATGTTGCTCAACTACATGGCTAGTGTATTGATGTTTACCAGACTAACTTGGGATGATCTATTGACCTCATCACTCATAATTAATTACACCTCATACTTTCACCAGGATGCTGTGCTTTGCACATATAAAGGACTCTGTCCTTGCATGTATTTCTTTCTCAGATCATGAGTTTAAGAAAGATTTGCTAATTTACATGAGATAGGCACTCTAGATCAATCAATGTTTGTAACATGGGACAAACATTGTTTAAGATGGTCCTTGGAACATCCCAATGCAATCACATGCATGACTTTGACTTGTGAATATATATATATATATATATATATATATATATATATATATATATATATATATATATATATATATATATATATTAAAAACAATAAAAATATATTTTAACCAAAGTAAAACAGATCTAATGGAAGTTGGACTGTGGAAAATTAAAATACAAAAATAATATAAATAAATCAGAATTAGATATAGTTAGTGGGTGGGACTAAACAACTAATTTTATCAAACAAAAAATTAATAGAACAATGAATCTTTATTATTTCCATACATATATAATAAAATAGAGCATTTGGTTTCGAGAGTGTGGATATTTCATGTTATATTTTTCCTCCTTATCACGTGAATTCATCGATCTTTGACTTTTTTTAGATTTTTTTAAAAAACTCAAATTATTGTTTCCAATTATTTTATCCATTTTAATTTCTCTAATTTTGAAATACATCACTCTATACCATATTTTACAGAAAATAATAATAATAAATTGAAACCCCTATTTTTTTAAGTGATTTAAACCAAATTTTGACTTGACGAAAAAAATATATTTTACTAAAAACAAAGTTAAAGACTAATGTAAATACTTCCAAATCTTGGATATTGATACAGACTATACAAATATTTCAACTAATTTTGTTTTATTTAATAAGTCTAAAATGTCATTCATTTGATAGAATTATATTTTCAATTCTTTATTTTGAAAATCGAATTAAAAAACATTGTTTTATAAAATATTGTTTTAAAATAACATAATTGTTTTGTAAAAGATAAACTTGATACAATTATATAAGAAATTTAACTATCCAAAAAGAAAAGATATGAACCAGAACCACATGGCAGCAGCTGCAGTAGAGTGACGTGTTGTAATTCCTAACATTAAATTACCTTTTTGCCATTGTCGGTGACCAAGTTCTACTTCTAATGTCAACAAATCCATGATCATATTTCAAAAAACGTGTCCACAGCATTATAATTAATTAAGAAAATATACAAACTAAAAATAAAATAAAATATTAATTTTAAACTTGTGAATTGATTAACAATTTCATCTTTTCATTGACATAAATTTTTAGACAAATAAAAATAGTATTTTTCTTTGATAATCATAATTTCATAATCTATTATGTGAGTGCGCATCACGCCAGGCTCTTGAATCTTCCCACGGCATTTACTATGTTTTGGGTGCGCATTTCACTCACCGTTTACTATGTCACAATCTTATACTATCAATATCATATCATCTTTTCTTTTCTTTTCTTTTCTTTTTTTCCTTTTTTTTCTTTCAATATTTTAATTATCATCGTCTTCTTTCGTTTTTTTCTTTTCGTTTTTTTCCTTTCGATATTTTAATTATCATAACTCGTTTTTGTGTTGTCAACTTTGATATATGCACAGCACGTAGACCTTCCGTTAGTAAGTGAGAGAGAGAGAGAGAGAGAGAGGGTGTCAGTGATGTCCTTTTGCTTGATCCCTCATATTTCAAGATAAGAGGTTAGTTATCAATTTCTGCGTTCAGATCTTGCAATTAGGATAAATGGGTATTTGTATTTCTATTTGTTCAGTCTCTTGAGATTTAGTTTCTTCTGCTTCCATTCATTTCCAGATCTTCTAATTACATTGCTTGTTCATTTTTCTTCTATCCAATGAAGATGAAAATTTTAAACCCTTTTTGCTGTCTTAATCCGTTTTAGATTACTTGGTGTCATTGTTTATTTTTTTTCTTGTAGAATATATATCTCGGGGGTGATTTGATACACAGTAAGAATGTTGGGTCGGTCTGCATTTTCCAGAACTGGGAGTTTCCGACCTGAGAATTTAGGTCAGAATGCCATGGCCATGATTGGGAACGTTTGCTTCTCATTTTTTGTAATTGGGGTTTTGGTTTTCACCATTATGGCTGCCACGTATGAACCTGAGGATCCCTTGTTTCACCCTTCAACCAAGATCACTACATTCCTCACTTCCAAATCCAATGCCACTTTCAAGTCTGATATCACTGTTGTTAGAACTGGGGAGGATTTCATGGCTGCTAATGAGACCGTTTTTGGCTCCATTATCAACTCAACTGATGTTGATAACTTGATTAGTGCCGAAACTGTTGATGGCGGCGACGCCGCAGCTGCTCACTGTGATGTGAGTGGCCCTATTGATTGTAAGGATCCTGAGGTGTTTCATTTGATGATGAGGGCAACAATTGACAAGTTTCAGGATATCCATTTTTACCGATTTGGGAAGCCGGTTGCCGGTTCCAATGACAGCACATGCGATATGGCATGGCGGTTTAGGCCTAAGGAAGGGAAGGCCGCTGCATTTTATAAGGATTATAGGAGATTTGTGATTGATAGATCTGAGAATTGTACACTTAGTGTTGTTAGCATTGGGGAGTACCATACTGGTGTAAATGCCAGGAAGAGGAAGAAGCATCAGAAGGCTGGGCTAGAGAAGACGCCACCGAATCTGGACCAGGCAAACGCATTACCTGTTGTTGGAGAGTTTGTTAATGACAGTCTCCCTGTGGTAGAGTCTGAAAGTTCATTTACTCATGGTAAATACTTGATTTATGAAGGTGGTGGAGACAGGTGTAAGAGCATGAATCATTACTTGTGGAGTTTCTTGTGTGCTCTTGGTGAAGCTCAGTACTTGAACCGAACATTGATTATGGATTTGAGCATATGTCTGTCTTCGATTTACACATCATCAAGGCTGGATGAGGAGGGCAAAGATTTCAGGTTCTACTTTGATTTTGAGCATTTAAAGGAGGCGGCGTCTGTGTTGGACAAGGAGCAGTTTTGGGTAGATTGGAACAAGTGGCAACATAAAGATGGGATGAGTCTTCATCTTGTGGAGGATTTCAGGATTACGCCCATGACGCTTAGGGATGTGAAGGATACCTTGATCATGAGGAAGTTTGGATCTGTCGAGCCAGATAACTACTGGTATAGAGTCTGTGAAGGAGAGACAGAATCCGTTGTTCAAAGGCCGTGGCATTTGTTATGGAAATCAAGGAGGTTGATGGATATAGTGTCTGCAATATCTTCAAAGATGAATTGGGACTACGATTCTGTTCATGTTGTGAGAGGGGAAAAGGCAAGGAACAAGGAGCTTTGGCCTAATCTTGATGCACATACCTCTCCTGATGCACTCCTAGCAACCTTGAGCAACAAGATTGACGAAGGAAGGAATCTCTACATAGCAACAAATGAACCTGACACATCTTTCTTCGACCCTCTGAAAGATAAGTATACCACTCATTTTCTTGACGAGTATAAGGAACTTTGGGATGAAACTAGTGAGTGGTACTCTGAGACAACGAAACTCAATAACGGGGTCGGAGTTGAATTCGATGGTTACATGAGAGTGTCCATTGATACAGAAGTGTTCTTGAGAGGCAAAAAGCAGCTTGAAACTTTCAATGATTTGACCAGTGATTGCAAGGATGGTATTAACACCTGTAATGTTGCAGCAAACTAATGTGAGAATTGAAACTCCAATGTTTGATATATTGAAATATACTCTCATGTACTTTTAGCTTATGTGTTGCATTTCACAATTTGTATCCTTTAGCCTTAGCAATGAGGAGTAAAATCGTTTTAGTTTTTGTATTGTAAGAGTAGTGACTACTTGCAAGTTTTGATGTTTTTAATTTAAATTTGTTTGTTAAATCCCTTGTATCCATTACCGATGTGGATAACCGAAACACAACTGCATATGTTGATCTTATTTGTTATTGTGTTTTTCCTTTTTGCATTGAGCTTAATTTCTATGCATTATCAGTATAATTATTAACTAATCAGAAATCATGATTTCTATAAATTTGAGGGTATGTATTGTAAAAAATAATAAATTTATCGTACGTAGTAGACTATGATTGATGACGGTGTAAAAATAATTTACATTACCAATGTTTACACTATTTTTCTCTGTTGCATATTAGCCCACTTTACTACTTTACTAGAAATTCAAAGAATAGTAATAGTTATTTCAATTGTCAGTTGTTATTTTGGTGCTTGATTTTGTTTCTGTAATGAGGCGTGACAATGTTGTAAATGGAGGATAAAAGGATTTCCCTAAAGAAAAAGACAGGGAAGATATTTCCGAAGAATGAAGTTTATATTTCCCGAAAGTTATAAAAGGGGTCGTAGGGGAAGCTTTCAATGTGCATCTGAAGTTGTTAGGTTTAGCATTAAGTAGAAAACGTGGAGTGTTAGTTAAAGCTTTCACCATACTAAAAGAACACAAAGGAGGACAAATCACTCATGAGGAGGAGGTGTCAACGTCATTCTCTTTTATCAGTGGGATGACACTTAGGATTCTTATGTTACAAATTCATTATGACGTACAGATTCTTTTGTTTTTAGTTTTTAAATTTGGATTGGCCTGTTTAACCAAATGAATTACTTGAATTAAGAACTGGCTTGAATCCCATGCTTTTCTTGAATGTATTTACGTTCCGAAAAGTTCATTAAAAGGTGCTCCAGAAAATTAACAGGTGAAAGAAGAAACACCTTACAAGCAGAGGAAATTACCAATTTAGACAGACAACTTCGGAAATTTGATATAGCCATAAATCGGTGACGATTTTGTCTAAAATCAGCTGATTACAGTAAAAAGAAAATTGTTTTGTAAAAAAATTGTCCATAATAATTATATATATATATATATATATATATATATATATACTAATTTAAAATTTTACATAATTGAACTATTTAACTTAATCAAAATTTTATGAGCGTATTACAGTATAATACTATATTAATTAAATGCATATTATCAGTTGGATTCAACTCCGACCAATCAATGAACCATGATCCCATGATTTTACAAGTTCAATAATTTATCTAATTTTAAAGGCGTTCCATTTGAAAAAATAAATTTCTTGTCTCCTTTTTATACATGAGGACTGCTTTCAAAAGGGTCAATCTAATCCATAGTTATTGACTATTCCTGAGAAAGAGTTTTTTTTTTTTTTTGTAAATTTCCTTGTGAAATTGATAGAAATATATTATTATTTTATTAAAATAAAATAAACCGAACACATTTTAGAATGACATAAACACTACACAGCTAAGTTAGACATCAGTTCCGTGAGCCATCAATAATAATGGTATAATCTGGGTAAGTATCATATAATTTGTTATACTGCTTGAATAATGCAATTAGAATGCTAATTACAGGGAGGGGTGAAAATAGACAGAACTGTCTGCCTACACTGCTACTTACATCAAACCCAAATCAGATCATCTTACTAAATTAAGTCAGATTTTTTATTTTTTTTCAAATCATTTAGTTTAAGCATTTCAAGGCAAGGTTCTGGAAATAGTAATACTTGAAATAGAAAAAAGAAAATAAAGAACTGATTTTGAGAGCATGAAATCATCTTCTTGTGTTCTCTTATTTATAGGAGATAAAAATACAGATTCAGAGATATAATTAATAGAGAGACATGATTAATCCTAGAGAAGATAAACAGATGCATTCTAGGAACTAGATCTACAACTAATCTCATAAATGTCCAACAAGATACATTTAATCTAATAAATACTTCAACACTCTCCCTCAAACTGGAGCATACAAATTGAATGTACCAAGCTTGGAACAAATGAATTCCATTCGAGGTCCTCTCAAAGATTTTGTTAATGCATCTGCAAGCTGCTCATTGGAACCAACAAACTCAGTACAAATTTCTTTAGTCAACAATTTCTCCCGAATAAAATGACAGTCAATCTCAATATGCTTGGTCCTCTCATGAAATGGAAGCAATGTGAAGAGCAGCTTGATTATCACAATACATCTTCATAGATTGAATCTCACAGAAGTTCAATTCTTACAAGAATTGTTTTACCCAAACAAGTTCACAAGTAAGAGACGCCATTGCCCTATATTCAGCTTCAGCAGAGGATCGGACAACAACGTTTTGCTTTTTGCTTTTCCATGAAATGATATTTCCTCCAATGAAAACACAATAGCCTGTAGTGGAACGCCTATCCATAGGAGATCCAGCCCAGTCAGCATCACAGTACCCAAAAATTTTGGATATTTCTCTTGTCTTCATATAATAATCCTTGTCCTGGAGCTTTTTTAATGTATCTTAAGATTCGAATGATAGCATTCCAATGATCCACACAAGGAGCTTGCATAAATTGGCTGACAACACCAACTGCAAAAGACAAATCAGGTCTAGTAATCGTCAAATAAATAAGTTTCCCAACCAGTCTTCTATATCTTTCTGGGTCAGAGAAAACTTCACCTTGTCCTGCCATTAACTTCAAATTTGGATCCATAGAAGCTGTCCACGGGTTTACAATCAATCATACCTGTCTCTTTTAGAATATCTAGAGCATACTTCCTTTGAGAGATGACAATACCTTCTCTTGATTGAGCTACTTCAATACCCAAGAAATATTTTAGATTTCCAAGATCCTTGGTCCGAAAATGACTACTCAAGTGCTCTTTTAACCGAGATATTTTAACAGACATCATTCCCGTGATGACAATATCATCAACATACACAATTAAATAAACATGTTTGCCAGGGGCAGTGTGACAATAAAACACTGAATGATCTGCTTCACTGCGTTTTAATCCAAAAGCTTGAACAATAGAGCTGAATTTTCCAAACCAAGCCTGTGGAGATTGTTTTAGGCCATAAAGGGATCGACGTAATTTACAAACCAAACCAGACTCCCCCTGAGTAACAAATCCAGGAGGTTGCTCCATGTAAACTTCTTCTTCTAAGTCACCGTGCAAAAAAGCATTTTTAATATCCAATTGATGAAGAGGCCAATGACGAATGATGGCCATGGCGAGGAACAGGCGGACAGTGGTCATTTTGGCTACTGGAGAAAAAGTATCACAATAATCAAGTCCATATATTTGAGAATACCCTTTAGCCACTAACCTTGCTTTAAGACGATCAACCCGACCATTGGGCCCAACTTTAATAGCATAGATCCAACGACAACCAACTGTTTTCTTTCCGAAGGGAGAGGAACAAGCTCCCAAGTTTTCTTGTGATCAAGAGCACTGCATTTCGAAATCATGGTTTGTCGCCATCCAGGATGATCAAGCGCTTCGACCACATTTTTGGGAATTGTAATAGAGGAGACGAGAGGAAATAAAAGAACAATAGGAAGGAGACAATCTATGATAACTAAAAAAATTGTAAATGGGATGAGGATTACGAGTAGAGCGAGTACCTTTGCGAATGACAATGGGCCAACTGGAATCATCGTTATCGAGGACAGTGGTATTAGAGGATGATGGTGAAGGACCTGTTATGGATGACTCATCTTGGGGAATGGGATTGTTCACCTGGTTCCTGCGTTGATAGGTGATGATAGGTCGTGATGCTGATTCTAGAGTATTTTGGTCGGAAATAGGAGGTACAAGCTGATTCAACTAAGGGAACAGGAAGCACATTTTGGACGAGAATCAATATCACTGCATAGAATAAGGGAAGAAGGATGATGATTCAAAAAAGGTGACATTAGCAGACATGTAGTACCTCTTGGTTTCGGGAGAATAACACCGATATCCTTTTTGAAGACGAGAATACCCCAAGAAGACACATTTGATAGCTCTAGGTAAGAGTTTATCTAAGCCAGGAGACATGTCATGAACAAAACATATACATCCAAATACCCTAGGAGAAACATGAAAAATTGGTTCCTTTGGAAATAGAATAGAGTGTGGAACTTTATTATCAAGAGAAGAAGATGACATTCTATTAATGAGAAAGCATGCAGTTAGAATAGCATCTCCCCAATGATGAATAGGCATATTGGCACCCAGCAATAAGGTACGAGCAGTTTCAACCAAATGTCTATTTTTTCGTTCTGCTATACCATTTTGCTGTGGTGTGTGAGGACACGTGGACTGGTGTAAAATGCCTTGAGAATTTAGGACATTAGAAAAATCATTAGAAAAGTACTCTTTGGCATTATCTGTTAAGGTTCCAATATAAAACCAATTGGCAATATGTGGAGTAGCCTAACATGTATTTAAACCATACCAAATGATATGAGGTAGGCGATGTGAGACTTTCAACACACCCCCTCCAACGAAGCCTGCCGGACCAGGCAAAGGGTACTTTTGACCCAACTAAAGGGCAACTTTTTGGCCCATGACAATAACCGGAAAGATGTTAGGCTTTGGCTCTGATACCATGTTAAGGTTCTAATATAAAACCAATTGGCAATATGTGGAGTAACCTAACATGTATTTAAACCATACCAAATGATATGAGGTAGGCGATGTGGGACTTTCAACACACCCCCTCCAACGAAGCCTGCCGGACCAGGCAAAGGGTACTTTTGACCCAACTAAAGGACAACTTTTAGCCCATGACAATAACCGGAAAGATGTTAGGCTTTGGCTCTGATACCAACTTGAAATAGAAAAAAGAAAATAAAGAACTGATTTTGAGAGCCTGAAATCATCTTCTTGTGTTCTCTTATTTATAGGAGATAAAAATACAGATTCAGAGATACAATTAATAGAGAGACATGATTAATCCTAGAGAAGATAAACAGATGCATTCTAGGAACTAGATCTACAACTAATCTCATAAATGTCCAACAAGATACATTTAATCTAATAAATACTTCAACAGTAATAATATTAAGTAATAAAATTAGTAGTATAATATTAACATTTTATTATATATTAAAGTTATATACTTATTAGTCTATTTAAAGACTAGTAAACTTGTATGTGAATATAAACTCATTAATCTATTCCAATATATGTTCTTATTTAATAAATAAATAGATTTTCAAGTTAAAGACCTATAAGAATAATATCAAAAAATGATGTACAAAAATAAAATTCATGAGGGTAGCCACTGCAACATTCATAACATAACTAAACTCATGCTATGTTTTTTTGTGTGATGACACTAGCATTACACTTGAACTATTTTCTCTCGCTTGGAGCTAAATGACTGCTGGAGTACCCAGGTTTCTCCTTATCCTTCCATGGCACAGTTGGTTGGAATGTCAAATGATGTGAAAACTGCTAACTTTAAACTGATAAAATTACAAACAAAATTGTTCATTGAGATAAATTTGGGGGTGGCATTTACCTGCCTTAAAGCAGTACCTATAACAGCTAGTTTCTATCTTACTCCCAAAAGTGAATCTAGATCATTTTTGTCCTTCCACGCTGGGACCCAAGTTTTACTCAGTATGGCATAAACAAAATTCATGTGGAACAAGATCAAATACTATTTAAAGGAAGAACTGTTTATTTTCCTCTAGCCTTTGATTTTTTTACTTGAACAAGAGTAACATTCTGGCCAGGCTTTTTGGTTCTGGCCTCCGAGGATCTTAACCTTGAAATGGTAACTTGATGCCGGTTTTTTTCCACCTTGTCATCTGTAAATGGTTTGACCTCGAACGATCCTCTAGTCAACCCTCTGGCAACCTAAAGGATAACAAACTGCTAATTAATGCTAAGCAATGCGGGGCTTAATTATAAGCCTATGAGAATTAACTGAAACATAATTATTTCGTAAGAATGGTTATCAATCAAAAATCAAATTTAATGTAGGCTTTGATACCAAATTTCTTGGTTGACAAAAAGGTTATACCATTAAATAAAATTCCAACCTAGATGATAATAAGCACAAGGGCGCTTGCGTATCATTAACTAGGCAGATTTGTGATATGAAGTGAAAGATAAAATCTAGGAAAAATAGAGTATTCAAAATATTAGGATTATCACGATGATAATCATGGCAATGAGGGATTTGCCCCACACTTTGCAATGTAAAACCAACCTTTCCAGTACTTCCCCTTAAGCAATGGAAGGTATTTTATTCTAAAAGTAACTTGAATCAATAAATACAAAGCATGGTAAAAGTGTATCTATTGATCAATTGTACCTTCAGGAGAATCCAGACTTTGAGAGAACTGCTCAATGTTGCAAGTCTTGTCTTTTTCCCCGAAGTCAGGTACTCACACATATGATGATCAACCCTCAGAATAAATTTCGGCCACAACTTGGGTTTTTCGGGGTTTGGCTTATGGTCCATTGTTGCCTGGGATGTGCATGATAACAAACAAGAAATCACACTCACGAGTGACTCCAATGAGTACCAATACTATGACAAGTGAACAGAATATTATTATGATCTAGAGATACAAATTACCACCAACTAAGGAAAAGATATATTGCAGCAGATGGTAATATGAACAGGACAGGTCAATTAGGAATTCTTGGTTCTAGGTGCTCAAGGACATGCCAAATAGAACTTTTCAATTGTTACACTCTTACGTTTGAGGGTTCTTTCTACCCATGATTTTATGGCTGAAAAAAAATTCTGAGATTGAAAGGTTATAGTTACCAGAAGCCGACAGATTTGTTGTTCAATTTTTGAGAAGGTCGTCTCTAAAGCTTCCACCCTGCCTGTGGCATGGCAACAAGCACATGGTTCACTAATCATGAATGTCACGCTTGGTCGTACCTGTCAAACATTGTTAATTCATTTTAATAAATCTTACCAAACTGAGTGCAGTGCGCACAAATTAGAGCAGAATGCAACCTAAAACCAAAAAATGTAGATCAAGCATTATTCTTTTCAATCTATAGTCGTTTGAGTGTCGGAGTTGAAGAAGGCATGAAAGATGGTGATCACTGAATTTCGCATACTATTTAAGTTATGCTTGAATAATGAAATCTACATAAAATTTGAAAAATGGGGAAGGCCACTTGATGTTTCATATGTAACATGTCTTTCTATTTCAACAATTGTCTCTTATAATGGGATAACAAATAGCTAATATTCACCATAGGCAAGCAACCTACCCTTTTTCTAGTTATTTCCATAAGTCCATGCCTAGATAATTCAGTGACCTTCACCATTGATTTATCTCTCTCAATGGCTTTCTTGACTTCTTCATAGACCAATCTTTTATTTGCTGACAAAGAAGAATTCAAATTTAACGAATAAATATATTTATAAGGACTTCAAGAATAACAATCAAGGGAGATGTTACATCAGAGTGACATAAAAAACGAATATTTCATACTTAAATATCATATCAAACTTAAAATTGAGAACATTATAAAATTCGTGAGATTGTTTACACTGAGCCATTTAGGGATAGCCTAAACCAGTCACATCTACTAGTTCTCACTGCATGATGATAGATAATGAGAATAGAATTCTACATTTGAAACATATGAACAAGAGGCAAAACTAATATCTGATGTAGCATTAGGTAGCTTTAAAGCACGAAGTCCCAGGACATCCTGATGCCTTAATGTTTTACTTGGTGCGAGAGCAACCTCAAACTTTATTGCAAAACCAGGTGATCAAATCACTGGCTGTCTATTTACTAGGTAAGAATTATTCTTCACTAATAAGGACCGATAAATGAATCCAGAAACCAGGAATAAAGTAACAGAACAGGACTGAGAAAATAATTCATTTTTAAATAAATTGTTACTTAAGTATTACCTTTGTCCCTATGTATAAGACCCATTTAACCAGTTCACAGGAATGAAAGAGTTCGTTAATTTAGTAAGTAATTTTAAATTTGTTAACAATTTGTATTATTTTTCCAAAATTACCCTTAAAATAATTGAGACTCGTCATCTCACCATTTCCAACTAATTAATTAATATGTACTAGTCATCTTCCCCTGTCCTGTCAAGAGAGAGAGTTTATCTTATTAATTTATAGCATTTCTTGTCTATATTGAATACAAAATTGTAAAGGGTAATTTGTAAAAAGAACTTCGAGAGAGAATTTGAAAAAGGGTCTCATAAAGAGTGAAAATGAGACTCTAAAGCAAAAGAGAACACAGTATACAAAAGTAGTTACAAATTCTGATAGAAGAAAAGCTAATACTGTTTTCCATTGAAGATGTCACAGATTTCAAAACAGATATGGGCTTTGTTTAACAAGTAAATCTTTTAGGAAAGAGGTATTTTGACATGTCATTAATTTAGGATGTAACTGATCAAGTTTCTACTGACCCTTCATTTATCAAGAAATTTAGGGTAATATGATGCATATACAAAAGACAGTTGCATTGTTCATATTTCAAACTCAGCAGATCTTACTTCATGGACTGTCAGAGATATAAACCTATTTTTGTTCCTTTCCTAACAGCTCAAGTTTTGGCCAAAGATTCTGTGAAGAAGTGTTCGAAAGAAATTAAAAGGAAGAAAACCATTCACACTGAGAAAACAACATGAACAATTCCACCTATCTTAGGGATGTTTTCCTTATCATAAAATCCACCACATCTTGCAAGAACTCTGCTAAACTAGGTGTAAATACAGGCTCACAAAGAAAACGGAAGAGAGTAAGCTGTTCTCATTCCCACTTTGGTAAAATTTTATGAACGTGTAATTGTAGTCAGGCCTTCCTTGCAGATTTTATGTAGAGATCTAATACATTTCGATCAGATGGAGAAGAGTTAACAGGAAAAAACATTTTAATCTGTGAAAATACCGTTTGAGAGCAAGGGGAACACTAAAAAATAAACTCTCTCAATCACACTCCAGACACACTACCATGCATGCATATGAGTTAGGTAGACAGATTCTGCGTGGTGATAGTGAGCTTATAAGGGGAAGATTAAAAGCTATGCTTTCTTAAACATCTCACAATTGAAAATAACATAATATTTCCATGAAAACTACTGAGTAGGATTGGTTAAAGCTTTAGTCAGTCATTTTGAAACTGCAATCAGTAATACGAAAATATTTTAAAAGTAATATCTGAGGGATGCCTTCTTCCAGTAACTTAATAGTTAAAATGCACAAACAAGTGGGAGATTTCCACTTACCTTCATCTGTCATATCAATGAAATCTACCACAATGATGCCACCAATATCCCTTAGTCGCAACTCCCTTGCAATCTGTAATGCATTGTTTCTAATAAAAAATTGTACTGCTTCACATGAATAATGTTACAAAACTAAAACAAAAGCATGTATGCTTGTACTTAAATAAAAAGAGGAAAATGAAATTGTTGAATATAGAGAAAATAGGGTTTGGAATTAATCTCCCTTGTGTATAAATCACACGTAGGGTAGTCTATTTATAATAGAGAGATACAACTAAAAGAGTAACTGATCATAACAGAATAAACAGAAGATATTGTTTGATATTGTGGTTAACAATATCTAACAATATCTTAAAAATATCAAATAATATCTAAACAATATCTAACACTCCCCCTCAAGCTGGAGTATACAAATCGTATGTGCCAAGCTTGTTACAAATATAATCAATTCTAGGCCCCCGTAAAGATTTAGTAAAAATATCTCGCTAACTGATCACTTGAGTTAACAAACTCGGTCTTGATGTCTCCGGACATAATCTTTTCTCGAATGAAATGACAGTCAATCTCAATGTGTTTGGTCCTCTCATGAAAGACAGAATTAGAACTAATATGAAGAAGCGACTGATCGTCACACACAAGTGACATTTGAGTGACATCTCCAAATCGTAACTCTCTAAGCAATTGCTTGAACCAAACAAGTTCACGAGCAGCTGAGGCCATAGCTCTATATTCGCTTCCGCACTAGATCTTGCCACAACCCTCTGTTTCTTACTTTTCCATGAGACCAAGTTACCACCAATGGAGACACAATATCTAGATGTAGATCTTCTATCCGAAGGAGATCCTGCCCAATCAGCATCTGAGTAGCAAACAACTCTTGTATGGTTATTAGAACCATATAACAATCCTTTTCCAGGAGATCCTTTAATATACTTCAAGATACGAATGACTGCATTCCAATGATCTTCACATGGTGAATTAAGAAATTGACTTACCACACTGATCGCAAAGGAAATGTCGGGACGAGTAACTCGTAAGATAATTCAATTTTCCAACCAATCTTCTATACTTGCTCAGGATCGGATATAGGCTCCCCCGATTTGGTAGAAGTTTAGTATTGGGATCCATGGATGTATCAACAGACTTTGAACTCATCAACCCAGTTTCCTCCAAAATATCTATGGCATACTTCCTCTGAGATATAACAATACCATCATTGGACTGTGCCACCTCAATACCCAAGAAATATCTAAATTTGCCAAGATCTTTGGTCTGAAAATGGTGACAGAGATGTTGTTTCAACTGAGAGATGTCATGGCTATCACTACCTGTAAGAACGATGTCATCAACATATACTATCAAGTAAACACATCCAACACTCGAGTGTCGATAAAAGACAGAATGATCTGCTTCACACCGAGTCATACCAAATTGTTGAACAACATTGCTAAACTTTCCAAACCAAGCCCTAGGAGATTGTTTTAGGCCATATAGGAATTTGCGAAGACGACATATCATCCCAGAAGACTCCCCCTGAGCAACAAACCCAGGAGGTTGCTCCATATAGATTTCTTCTTGCAAATCACCATTGAGGAAAACATTTTTAACATCTAGTTGATAAAGAGACCATTGTTGAAGAGCGGCCATAACAATAAATAAACGAACAGAAGTCATCTTTACCACGGGGAAAAAGGTATCTCCATAATCCAACCCAAAAATTTGAGTATAACCTTTGGCCACAAGACGAGCTTTGAGGCGATCAATAGTACCATCAGGTCCAACTTTGATAGCAAACACCCACCTGCAACCAACAACAGATTTCCCAGACGGTAACGAGACCAATTCCCAAGTTCCACTATTATGAAGAGCACTTAGTTCATCTAACATGGCCTGGCGCCAATCAGGATGGGCTAAAGCTTCACGAACAGTTTTTGGAATGGTCACAGAAGAAAGAGAGGAAAGACATGTATAAAAAGGTAATGACAGTCGATGATAACTTAAAGCAATATAATGGGGAGAAGGATTACGTGTAGAACGGATACCTTTCCAGAGGGCAATGGGAAGGTCAGACTCAGGTGTCACATCCGGAGGAGACACAGTACAGTAGTTGACACTTGAGTGGAGTCACATGGTGGTGGTTGTGATTGGTTTGGGAAACTATAAACCTGAAGAGGCGGTGAAGAAGAAGCTGACTGCAGAGCAGAAACTAATGATGAAGAAGACACAGTTAAAGGGTCACAAACAACAGGAACATTTAAATGTATTAGGAGTATTGACAAGATTGGATGGAGACAGAGGTGAAGATTGACTTTTAAAATAAAAAGAGAACTCATCAAAGGTGACATCTGCAGACACAAAATAACAGTTAAAAGAAGGAGAAAAACATTTGTATCCTTTTTGCGATCTTGTAAACCCTAAGAAAACATATTTATGTGATCTAGGAGAAAGCTTGTCAAGACCAAAACTGAAATTATGAACAAAACATGTAGACCCGAAAACTCTTAGCGGTAAGGGATGAAGTGGTTCATGAGGAAATAAAATAGAATGAGGTATTTTATTATCTAAAACCGAAGATGGCATGCGATTAACGAGATAACATGCAGTAAGAAGAGCATCACCCCAAAAATGCTGAGGAACCTCTCCATGAATTAAAAGAGTGCGAGTTGTTTCAATAAGATGTCTATTTTTACGTTCAACTACACCATTTTGTTGAGGTGTATAAGTACAAGAAGTTTGATGCAAAATACCATGAGAAGCCAAGAATTGTTTAAAAGAATAAGAAAGATATTTACGACCATTATCACTGCGCAAAACTCTAATAGAAACACCGAACTGAGTTTGTATTTCATTAAAAAAAAATTGAAAGATATGAAATACTTCAGAACGATTTTTCATCAAAAATAACCAAGTACATCTGGAATAATCATCAATGAAAGTAACAAAGTATTGAAAACCTAAAGTAGACTTAACGCGGCTAGGTCCCCAAATGTTAAGAGTGAACCACGACAAAAGGGGACGAAGCACCACGTGTGACACTACGAGGAAAGGAAGTACAACTATGTTTGCCTAATTGACACGACTCACATGCCAAACTAGACAACTTAGATAAGACAGGGACAAACTGCTGTAACTTGACAAGACTTAGATGACCTAACTGAGCATAGAGAAGAGAGGAAGACTCTATAACTGCACCAACATGTGTAAAGAGACGAATATGATAAAGACCATGAGACTCACATCCTGTGCCAATCACCTGTTTTAAATTCCGATCCTGTTAACACACAGAATTATTGGTAAAAGAAACAACACAATCAAGAGAACGAGTTAGACGACTGATGGATAACAGGTTAAAAGGAGACCCAGGGACATAAAGAACATTATCAATGGTTAAAGAAGGAAAAAGTTTAACAGTTCCAACACCATGAGATGATACTCTAGAGCCATCAGCCAGTGTAACAGAAGGCAAAGGATTAGGAGAGGATAACAAAGATTTGTTACCAGTAATATGATCAGTGGCTCCTGAATAAAAAACCCAAGGACCAGAAGAAGATTGGGTCAAACCAGCAAAAGATGTACCTGTGTGTGCGACAGACACAGTGGAACTAGAAGACTGTTGATCCTTATACCATTTGAGAAATTTGTTGAACATAGCAGGTGTGTCTGATAAAATAGAAGAATGAGGATTCTTAGCAGATAAAGGCGGAGAAAGATCAGTCTGAACAACTACAGCAGATCAAGAAGGACGACCATGTAATGCATAACACTTGTCAATCTCGTGACCTAGCTTACCACAATGTTCACACTCATGTAATGCATAACACTGGTCAATCTTGTGACCTAGCTTGCCACAATGTTCATACTTAGGACGCCCTTTTCCCTGTTTACGAGGGCGAGTTCGGTCATCACGGTGAGATACCAATGCAGAAGAATCATTAACAGAAGCAGGTGTGTCAGGGTTGGGTTTTGCTGGTAAACGCAAAAGAGTGGAGCAGGTCGATGTCAAGGTGGGGACAACCGGAGAACCCAAAATCTGATCACGAATATGTGAATATTGATCAGCAAGTCCATGTAATGCCCCTAGCATGAAGAACTTTGATCGTTGTGCTATCTCGGTGGCAGGGGCGGGGGAAGGAGGCAATAACTTATTGAACTCATGAAAAAGAGCATGAATTTTGCCCATATAATCAGTCATAGAATCTTGATGTTTAGAGGCAATAACATCTACAAATTTAGAACAAACATCATAAAGACGTTGAGTATCATTGGTGTATAATAACTTGGCATGTTCCCAGATTTTGGCACATGTTTCGTAGGAACGAAAAATTTGTTTTAACGAAGGATCAAGAGTACCCTTGAGAACCACACATAATTGAGCATCAATGGTGTCCCAACGGTCTTCCTCACCAGGAGTAAGAGTAGGTGCTTTCAGGGAAAGATGATCAAGATATTTCTGACTCTTAAGCCATAATCTGACGTCTGATGACCATGTGGCATAATTAGGGTCAGTTAACTTGTCAATGGATAAGTGCACATTAACATAGTTAATGTAGATGGAAGGATCAGACGCAATACTGACAAAATTGGAAGTACTAAAAGGAGCGGAAGAAGTCATAAAGGGCGGAGGTGATGGAGGCAATAGTGACAACGGCGTGAACCAGTACACCAGGTAAATTCCCAGGAAAGAGAAATGGGTCACTAATGGACACACTTAAATATCAAGTTTTTCCTTGCCAGAACTTTCCTAGACATGCACTTTCACACTACCAAATAAAATTCAGTAACAAAGATAATTTTTTTCTTATGTAAAGGATCAATTTACCAGTAGCGGTGGGGCGGCTCTATCAGCGGTGGGGTGGCTCCAACAGTGGACAAAAGGCGAAAAAAAATTTCAAGATAACCTTAAGCTCTAGATACCATGTTGAATATAGAAAAAATAGGGTTTGGAATTAATCTCCCTTGTGTATAAATCACACGTAGGGTAGTCTATTTATAATAGAGAGATACAACTAAAAGAGTAACTGAAAGTAACAGAATAAACAGAAGATATTATTTGATATTGTGGTTAACAATATC